TCACATGTCTAGGAAAACCCAGCCTCTAAAGCCTCTATTTATGCAGATGTTCGATTTATTACCCTTATGTTGTGCCACCTTATCCAATCTACCAGGTGGTGTCAGTTAGTAAGACTATCTGATATCCAGTTTTGCTACATAAAATACACAACACTACTTGATGTTTAAAACTATCATATGACTACTACTTGTGCAATCTATGCAATTGTACAGGGCACACAGCCTCACATTAATTGCAATAGCCAAAATTATTTTAGGTGTTCAATGCATGCCTAAAATGGAGACTAAGTGATTTAGCATTACTTTTTATGGAAAATTCAGAAGTGAGGAAATAATTTGCAGCAAATATTGCCACTAAGCCCAGAAAAAAGTTTTTAAGCAGTGTTCATGACAAAATAAGTAGGCCTACAGTGTACATATAACATAGTAGTTAAGTTCTAAAAGTCAGTGTTATGCAAATTCATGCTATACAAAACAAAGGACTAATACAAAACATAGGGTTAGGTTCCAATAGTTAGCAGAAGTAAATCATTTTTTTTCAGAGAAATTGTTTGTTAAAGTAATCAGTAATTAACTAACAATCACATTCAAAATTATTGCACATTAATATCAATTTTTTTCTTCAGTGCTGAACACCATTAAACAAGGACATTTTGTTTTCAGCAAAATATCATCTGAGCTTTCCTGTTGACCTTAATCTAAAGTACCGGCAACATCTTGATTTTTCTCTACTTTTTTTTTCATAAAATCTGATACTTTCATTTGCCTGCAAAGAGACAAAGTGTGCTTCTGAAACATTTAAAAGAAAATCAGAATTAAAAATTTCAAGTGACTTATTTGTAAGATCACTGGTTCATGTTTTGAGAGCTTTTTCCAAAAAATCAATATGTTTTTTTTTACATAAAATACAGTAGAACCCTGATTATTCAAGGTTCTGCATCATATCAAGCAAATCTGTAAGTGAATGCACTACTTTTCTTATAAACTATTTCTTATAGTTTTGTAAAAGAAACTTTACAAAGTGATTTGTTTCTGTTAGCTTTTATCATTTAACTTCAATGTGAGAAAAACTAGTCGTATTAAAATGTAAGTGCAATAATGCAATGTGTATTAGCTATATAATAATGATACAAAAATTCTTATATATGTAATTAAATTCACTAACATATAGAGGCTTAAAAATAATGTCATATAAACTTTTTATATTCATAGTCTTTAATTTTAAATGGCTGTGGCCATTCTTTTTTTCAAGGCCCACATTACCTCAGATAATTGGGGTTTTACATAATTTACAATTACATGGATTATACAGTAGCTATTCATTCATATTCAAAAATGTGCATTTTCTTTCTTTAATTAAAAATTTATTTTCAGAATTGCTCCGATAAAAAAAATTCAAAAAATCATTAGTTAACTAATCTAGCACTCATAAAATGATATAGGTTTTAAGGCAGTCTGAAGAGGGGAGAGGGTTACAGAAACTTAAGACAAACTGGGACAAGAGGGGGAGATGTAATTTATGTACAATGTAATATTGAGTTGTTCGGAAAGTAAGTTCGTTTTTTTTCCGTGGAAAAAAAACGCAATATTCTTATGATAAATAAATATTTTATTGAATTATATATTGACCATTTTGGTCAAATACCTGTTGTCATCGTTTCTGGTAGTAACACGATTTCACATTCATAAAAGTTTTGATCGTTGCTTACAAAAAACCGATCCAAGTGATTTTTGACATTGTCATTTCACGTAAATGTCTTACAGTTAAAAAAAATTGTACAGACAGGAACAAGTAATAATCTGAGCGTGCTCAATCTGGCGAATATGGTTGGTGTGATAGCATGTCCCATCTAAGTTATAACAGTTTCTGACAGTTACCAAACTTGTGTGAAATTTGACATTATTGTGGTAAAACACTACAGCTTTTTTATTTTTATCAATTCTGGCTGGCTTTTTCTGTTTGATGATATTATGCAATTTGTTTACTCGAATGCAGTACACTTTCGAATCAATTGTTAAATTGTCTGGTAAAAGCTCCAAAAAAAATTTCATTAATATCCCACCAAATAGAGCATTTCTCTTTAAGAACTTGTGGAATTCATATATCGCACTTTGAAACGAAACCAATTTGTTTCAAGTACTCATAAACAGTTCAATTTGACAAATTTAACCTCTTAGTGATTTCACGTGTTGTTATTCCGCAGTTTGCTTCAATCGTACTTTTATTTTGTTTTCATTGGCTTCAATTGGCCATCCATAATGTGGTGCATCTTCAATACTGAAATTGCGAGAACAAAATTTTGTAAACCAGTTTGGGCACTGTCGTTCTGTCAACACATCACTATACATGTCACACGATTTTTTTCTTGCTTGAACAGCATTTTTATTTTTTTGGTAATAAAAAAACAAAATATGCCAAAGATGCTGCTTTCGATCTTCCATATTTGATGGGACACAAAAAATAAACAATTGCAGGAAATCAAACAAAATTTTTTACAAATAAGCCATAAAATGCTAGCTGTCAAAATATATAATGATAATATGGTTTAGAATGAAAATGGTGGGAAAAATACCACTAATCCGTCTAGTGGTAAAAAAACGAATTTACTTTCCGAACAACCCAATATATGTTTTGAAAAACTTATGTTGCTCAGAATTTTTAACTTCAGTTTTCTCAAAAACATTCAAAAAATGTACTTTGTCCCTTTGGTCAATAAAGATTTGCAGCAAGGCTTATCCACACAAGCAATTTACTGAAATATGATGGCCACATGCGTTGTGTTCAGGAGAGGTGAATAATTTTAATTGAGCAAAGGTGTTTCAATTTGTAGGTGTTACATAGCAATGTGGATCTGCTGAACAATAAATGACTTATGCATTGGAACAGGAAGTTGACACTAGTAGAAAGTTAAAGATAATATAAATTTAAGAGAATAAATCTAGACATATCTATTTTTAAATGGTTCATGAACACTTATTGGCAAGTTAATGTTGCAATGAATACTTTTGTATTGATATATAATGTCTTTATTCACACTATCATTTAGTGTAGTGTTTTTCAACTGCTGGTCTGCGAAAAATTTCACCAGTCTTCAGAGAAATATTTGACTGTACTGAAAAGCTGGTGCAGTTGATTACAGGTGACATTTAAACAGTAATCTAGAGTTACTGTACATACTTTGTTATGTAAACTCTAGATAAGCATAATTTGTAGTTGTATATAATTATTGGTCCATGTAAAATTATCCATAATTTTACCAATCTGCAATAAGAAAAAGGTAAAAAAAAATTGGGATAAAGTATATATGGTGAGTTTCCCATAATTTTCCCAGTTATGGAGAGATTTTATTTTTAAAAAATAACATTTATATTATTAATCATAATAAATAAATAAAATTGTACGGGAGCCATTTAATGAGTTTTATATATAAAAAAAAAAATAAGTTATAAATACTAACAAACAAGTAAAACATTCATTAATTAAAGTCCTACCCATTCAAGATATGGCATGTGATCATCATCTCTCTCCCCACCCCCTCGACTTTTAACTATCAAAATTTAATAGTAGCAAATGTCCTTTATACACAAGCCACCATGCCAAATTTATTTTTTAAATCATTAACCCATCCTGAGATATTAAACAAAATAGATGCCAACATGTACATCCCAATTTTTTTCCCCCCTCAAATTCAAAATCATCTTTGCTCCCCTCTATCACATAACAGGTGACGGTTCTTGCTAATTGGCTACTTATTTGTATGTTGTATCGAAAGTAGAACTGAATAAGTTCCTGCTGAGAGGGAAGAACTTCTAAGACGTTGCTAAGGTCACCTTTCGAAGTGATGCAATACACTTATAGGTCAAAAGTGTCTAGCCTTTACTTCAATGAGGGGGAAAAAAAGAAATAATGATAAAAATAAAAATTTACCGATGTGTGAAAATTTACACAGGAGTCTGAATTCTCACACTAATATTTTCAATATGGGTAGTGTGTAAAAATTTATAAAGAAACAAGTTATGGGTGTTTGTGAAAACTTTACACGACTTGTTTGCTTCAGAAATTGACACCAAAATCAAGTATGGTACTAACCTGAGGGAGATCACACTATGGGCGTATTCAAAATCTCAGCATCAATCCAGCGAGATGCTGCCAGAAGTGACGTGACTGCTGGCATTTTCTAGAGAGAACAAACACTGACTGCTAGGAATTTTAGGAAAGAAAAACAATAAAAATGGCAAATGGTGTGGACTTCCACATTATGTTAAATGATTTTTGAACTTCTTTATTTAGAACAAATTAATGAAAAATAAAAATTTTGAAAAGAGAAATAGAGATAAAGATATTTTAAATTTCCATAGGAGTTTTAAATAATTAAATCAATCCTAAGATTACACTTTAACAACTAAAAAAATTATGTGATGTTTTAGGTAAAAATACTAGTATATTTAATATTCGGTTAGTACATTAATAGAATATGTTATTTATTTGGGTTTATTCATCAACAAATAAATTAAATTCAAAATTGTCAATGCAAAATAGAGCTCTTAAGAGCCTTATGGTGGCTGCCATCTTGTTTACTAGCTTATCCAGTACCGAAAAAAAAAAGACACTTACAGTTTGCTGGCAGCAACTGGAAGCAATTTGAGATTTTGAACAGAGGTGCTGGCTACGAGCTGAGATTTTGGATACGCTCAATAAGAATGTAATTACTGTATATGATTTAGTAAGATAAGTTTAAGAGTTAATTTTCATGTCATTTACAATGCAATATTTACAGATACTGAAGAATTCTCTACTTGTAAAAGAAACTTTCTTAGAAAAATTCATTAGCACTATTTAAAGGTTTGACTGACTGACAGATTAAGTTTTGAAAATTACACAAAAATAACTTTTGTATTTAAACCTTGAAAATCAAATAAAGTTTTGCTCTGTTAAGAATGCATAACAATAAGAATTTTATGTATGTAATTTTAGCAATATACCAAAACAATATATTAACAAAACCATTTAATGTACTAAAGTTTAATACATATACAAAGAAACAACTGGGATTTAAAATTTTAAGATGATATTTGGCACAAAACATAAAAAATAATGCCTATAAGACATTTTTACATAGTATTCATCATACATAAGTAAAATTATTCTGAAAGCAGATTTTGAATTTCAAATTGGGAGAATGCATGACAGAAATATAACTGACCAAAATTTGTAAATACTATGGTAATGAAGATTAAAAAACAACTCTTAATATACTGCATCAGTTTAAGCATGCAAACTAGGAATTTTTCCATCTTTACTGTAATTTCAAAATTAGTTTCAAATATGTTACAGCTATATTATATCAAATAAATGATTTAGTATGCTTCTGTACGAAATGACAAATATAAAAAAATTACTAGATTTTTGTCCGTATGATTTGTTTAGAAATGTTTTCCTATAAAAATATATTATTTCAAAAATTTATACCGAGGGCGTATAAAACACTTTACACTTATCAAAATCGTGCTTTGGTCGGAAGAGTATCAGATTTGTCTGGTTATAGTTATATAAAATAAATTATGATATATAAAATCTATGTTGCTATCTTGGATGATTTGGAAAAGATATTAATAGGTTAGAAATTATACAAATGTGGCCAACTTCAGTTTTGCTTATTATATAAATTCTATTTTAAAAATGAATTCTTCCAAAAATCCAAATCTTACATGATTAATGAAGTATTTAGATGTCAAAAGAAATATTGATCATAAAAAATGTTTGTGGCATTATCTGATGAAAATGTATACTTAACAATGAAATATGGCAATTTTTTTCAGCTGGTCAGATAAAGTTTGTGGCAGAAATTTGTTAAAGGAACAATACTCCTATTAATACTGATGTGACCCAATGATAAAAATGATCTGTACACTTTGTACATGTTTCTTGCTAACTGTCCGATTCTGGAACAGGAGACGGTGGCGGGGGTAAAGGATTATAGAAGCTTCTGACTGTTGAAGGAGAAGGAGGACACGTTCCACAATTATCATCAGAAAAGTAATGACTTCTTGGTGTGGGAGGTGGAGGATAAGGATCAGAATCATATGATGATTCTAATCTGATATTATAATATAATTGTCTATAAGAATATGGTTCGCTGTCATCGCAGACGTCTGTGCTGCAGGGAGTTGGAGGAGGTGGAGGTTGATATGCACGTTGATACTTGTACGATCTCAATGATGGTCTCGTATGTGAAGAACAGCAATATTCGGTACACTGAGATAAAACAGTTACTGGACTGGGAGGAGGGTTAAGTGTTTCTTGAGGATATGGAGTATCCATAGAACTAGTGGAAGAGCCTCCTACCACATGATTTTGATCATACATCTGACAACTGTTTGGCAAGTGTCCCATACAAATATTATTAGAACTATTATTATTGCCAAAATTAATTGGGATAATAACAGATTGTGAATTTTGAGCCTGAGATTTATGTTGAACAGTAAGAGGTTTATTACTCATATTTATCTCTGTAGTATCATCATTATTATCAAAGTCCTGGGTTTTTCGTTTGCAAAAATATGCCCATATTGCAAGAACTATTAAGACAAGCACAGCTACTACAATTCCAATTGTATAATTTGCTTTTATTTCAAAACTCGTTTCCATTTTCATCAATCCTACTACTTGTTTGCAATGCAATGAAGCTTCATCCAAGCTCTCTGAACATTCTTCCGTCTGGCATATGATGGTCAAACTGATACATTTTTTAAGTGCAGCACAATAGTATTGATCTTTCTGGCAACATGCTTCATCTTCTCCATTTGGGCAATTAGGAACTCCATCACACACTAGTTTTGGATCAATACATTTATCATTTTTGCACTTGTATTGATTAGATTTGCATTCAGTACAGTTTAGTTCATCCAACATGTCGTCACATTCCACAAAACCATCACATCTCCAAGCTTCTGGAATGCAACTCATTTTTCCCGACTGACATCTAAATTGATCGGGACCACATACAGGTGGATTTATACATGTTTTTTCATTTTTCTCAAGGATGAGATCAATGGGACAGGAACAATATTTTTCACCTTTATCATTCATAATACACAAATGTGAACAACCACCATTATTAACAAAACAAGGATGACTACTGTTTCCTTCTAAAGGAGAAACAGCCACTATATCTGTAAGATGTGAAGGTCTGTATTGAAATTTATGCTGATTTTTACCATTTAACTTATTAACTCTTTCAATAATTTGTTGATCCTTATCAATCCAATAAAGATAATCTCCTAAAACAGTCAATGACACAGGTTGAAAAAGGCTTCCTGTTACAATGATTTGTCTGAAAATAAGAATAAAACACTAACTTAAATTTTAAATCCTTTTTAATATATTAAGAAATTTGAATGTATACACATTTCTGGCTGTGTTAAAAAATCATCTTAATCTTATTATAAGAATGAATGTTTATTTTATACTTTTATCTATATTGAACTTTAATTTATATACATAGTTCCTCAATTAAACTACAGGAGAGTTTATTTTTAAAACATGTATTCTTGGTTTATTTTAAGTCCCAGGGTTTTTTGAGGCTGATGCTTATCATCTTGCATCAGGAGATGATTAGGTAAAAATTGAAAGAGATACCTTAATTATTTGTACATTTTCAGAACTATCAAATCCATTTATTGATTGTATTTATGGGTTCAGCTACATTTGAAATACTTAACCTAATAGTATGATTTTCTTAGTTAACAACTAAATTGGAAGACACTGAATCAGATTATATGCTTGTTGCTGTTGTTGGAATCAGGGTCTTGACTACCATACTACTCAACATCTCAAATTTGAGTTTTCCTAAACTATTTTTAGGCTGATAAGATTCAACTTATGAACTTAATTGTGACTTTCCCACATTCAAAATTCAACAATATTTAAAATCTTATTTCAGAAAATGTTCCTGTGAACCTTGGAATAGAAAGCCTTGTCCTACACTAAACAATTTGAAAAGATAGAATTTTAGTTAAATTTCTTACCTATCACTCTAAAGTGCTTTTCTACTCTATAGTACTTCAATATGTTACTCATGTGTTTCAACCTTAGGTTTATTTTTAACAGCATCTTCATTCCCCACAATTTATTTGAATCCCAAAGTTTAATCAAAGAAATATATTTTATATTTTCCTACACATTGCATAACTGAATAAAATTCCCATAAAATTGAGTAATGTAATGATTCTAATTAATTATTGCTTTACAGAATTTACAATAATAATTTGAAATATCTTTGCTAATAATTTTTGCAGGATACAATAATCAAATGATTACTTTTATGTCATTCAAACTCCTTGTTGTCAATAAAGATCATAAATGAGAAAGGATAATTTTAAATATTCAATTTCTAATTGTATATATTAGCTAGGAATCAACCGAATGTTCAATTTGTATTACTTCGACATGTACTACTGAATTACATCAAACTTGGATTTTATATATACCAAATCAATAATAATAATAATAATAATAATAATAAAATTATACCTTTTAGAGCCATCGAGATCAGCTGTTTCAATTGTTTTAGCATTCAGATCTGACCAAAATATAAGATTATTTATTATATCTACAGCTAAGGCTCCAGGCTGAGTCAATCCATCTTTGATTATAATTTGTTTATTTAAACCATCTAAACTTGATTTTTCAATTCTAGGAGGATGCATCAAATTTGTCCAAAATATTAACCTGGAAAAAATTATTCTAATATTACACTGTAATATAAAATATACAAGACAAACACAAACATAGAATTAATATACATGTTTAGAAAATAATTATGCAGACCTCATATGTATCATGCCAAAGAGTTTTTATGAATTGAAAAAATGATGAAAAAGTATAATTTAATAAAGATAATGTTGAATATATAAAAATGAGTTATGTCAATACAATACTTTTGTTTAGATTAAAGTGTGAGAGCCGAATTTAGTGGAATAAATTGTTAAATATTTTTTTTCGAGGAACAGTTTAGAGAAATAAACAGCAAACCGATATTTAAAAAGAACATAAAACTTTTTTCCCACAAACTTAATTCCGTGTTGAGGATGATACATCCAATGTGTCACCCGGAATCTACAAAAAGATGAAAGAAAACAACTATTGGACGGAGGCAGTGGGAAAAACCCAAAGACGACCCCCTTTATAAAAAGGAGTGGTCGATGCGTAAGAGTCAGTCTCCGGAGTTTGGTGTGAACTGTGGATTTACGTGAACGGATTAGCCGCTACCCGGAACTGTTCTAATCGCCGCCGTTCGGGAGAATCACTGCCTAAAGAAGTATCAACGTTCAAAAGAACTTTGTGCCACATAGAGACTCGAGGACTAAACGACTATTTTCCAACTTATATCAAGGTATTTATCCTCACGCGAATTAAATGTGAACTCTCTCTCATAAATACAGGTAATCGGGAAGGAAGTAGATATGTTAACTGAGTCGATTGTATAGAGCTTAAAGAGCACAATAAACAGGCATTATGTATAGACAATTTGTAGAGTGTAATTCCTCTGATTCTCTCTTTACACCTCCATCTCGGAACTAAGAGTCCACATACGCAACTGCTCGCGCATAAATTTGAACGTAACGGTCTCTGTGTCTACCCAGAAGACAGTGGTGTCGGTCGTGATAAATTTGTCATTGCCGTCTTCACCGACGCAATGTCGACCCTTTGGTCCTGTGGTGCCGAAGCATAGAGGGGGGAACCCTTCGGCATTGTCACAAAAGCATGTATTATCCTAATCAACTGAATGAATCTTTTATGATGAAAACATGTCTTTATGAAAATGATAGAAGATTCAGAAGCTGCCTTATTTGTAATCACTTCAATAATGTTTTTTCTTTGTTTGCATGGTTTTAATGTGTATGATAAATACAATACAATCTAACTATATAAAGCTGAAAAACCAGATTCTTTCTTTCTGTCACTGTATGCCAAAAATGGCCACTAGGGGTGCCCCTCACTATTATTTAAATTAACAATAAATTCAGTATATTATTATTTGATGCAGTTTTTTTGCATTTTTGGCTGCATTTTAGCAGGATACACCATGAGAAATTCAGGATAATAATATTTTTATTTGTAATAGGAATTTATTATTTATACCACTGAATGACACTGTTGCTGCTAGAATGCCCACCAGGGGCATCCCAGGCTACTAGAATAGAAGGACGAAATAATCTAATTATCTTAATCTTTGTTTTTGTTTTGATGAGCCTGGCAACGCCGGGCTCATCTGCTGGTATATTAATAAATATGGAAAATTTTTATACTATAGTTAATCTTCTTCCCCATCACTACAAACTTTTATGTTAAAAAAAGCATTTTTTTGATAATTTATAAATATAACATACACATTTCTTTTTAAAAACAAATTGTAAAAATTACAAAATATTAAAGACTTATATGAATAACAGTATTCTTGTGCAGCATGGATGACTACAAGAATACCATAGAGCATCGATTATCTGAATGTTGATAACCGAAACGTCAATTAACCAAAAGCTTTCCAGTTGGCAAATTTAAATTTCTGCTAGTGCTGTGGTACAGCAATCTTTAGTTATGTCTTGGGCTACTCCAATATTATTTTTGTTGGTGTGCGTGTTTTAGCTGTCAGCACTGGCGTGACCGTGAGAGGGTACTTAAGGACGTGCCAGGATTTGAACGAATTTCAACATGGGATAGGTTAATATATTTCTTCGTACATAATTGATTATCCGAAAAATTGATTTTCTGAACAACCCCAGTCTCCAATTGATTCAGATAATCAATGCTCTACTGTACTGTTATTTGTATAAGTCTTTAATATTTTGTCATTTTTACAATTTGTTTTAAAAAATATATTTTATCCTGGATTTTTTACAATTTTTTCCTTACAATAACATACACAGTATTATACAAACTTTTTGCTTTAAAAATTTCATAAGGATAAGTCAATATGCAAACTTTACTGTTTAAAAGTTTTGAAAGTTTTCTTCAAATAGTTTAAATATAAAATTATATTTGCCAATTTTAATACGCTAAAAATAAAATTTCCAGTTATAAATCAGCAATTACATACAATTTTGGAAAAGGGAATTCATTTTTTTTATTGTTTGGATATAAAAATAAGCTCAGTTGATTTTCAAATTGATTCTTTACATTATTATATACTTAACTTCATTTTAATAATCAATAATAAGTATAAAAAAATTAATTGGCAATTTTATATATATAAATCATCAGTTAATTTTTTTATATAGTAACTTTCATCACTTTATTGATTTATTAATCTTTAAATATAAAAACCAAAAAATATACTAATGCACATTAACTCAACAAAGTTTTGTTGCCAAAATCTATAATGGCAATTAGGCACAATTTTGTAATAATAAATCATAATCATAATATAATAGATAAAAATCTATTACATTATGATTATGATTTATTATTACAAAATTGTACCTAAAATGCATTTCTGTTGTTCAATATTCTAACATAATTTTGTATAAAATATTTAGCTTACAATCATCACAACACTTTTCTATCAAAAAAAGAAAGGGGAAAATAGAATCAGTGGCACTCAAAATCATTGAATTGTCACAAAATTTTTGAACAAGTAAGCAAAGCCTATGGGCAAGCATTACTCACTACATATATCACAGACTGCATGATCTTGCCACAACCTGAATCACACAGTATCTTCTGGAAACTACCACCAAATCCTGGCACTCACAGGCACACTGCCACCATCATCTTGCAGCTTGTTTTGAAATCACTGGATGATAAAACGGGGGCTTCTTGGAGGACCCTCCATATAAATAAGGAGGATCCCTCAGTTGATAAAATGGAAGAGGCTGAATTTTGATTTTTTTTAATGGAAGGATCCCACATTAATTTTTTGATTTTAAGCTTTTAAGATTAATTTTATCACTTTTACTGAAATATTCTTATTTGATATGTGTATCAAACTGTTTAATCAAACTAATATAATTAAATTTTTAATGACTTACCCTTTATTAGGATGAATTGCTATATGCCTTGGTTTCTGATCATCACCACTGATGATAATTCCAATAGCTTTTCCATTTAATTTTGTTACATTAATAACATTGTGTCGTGCACATGACCAATACAGACTACGAGAATATGGTTCTATTGCCATATCAATTGGATGAATCAATTCATTGAGACTTTGTACAACAACACTCATCTATTCAAATCAGAAATATATTTAACTAATTTAAATAAAATAAATAAAATATACAACATTTTATTTTACCTTTGTTCCATTATCATAACCCCTTCGAATTGTTTGAGACCTGCCATCTATCCAATAAATGAATTTGTCTATATAATCATATTCAAGACCTCTCACATGTTTTAGATGAGAGATGGGAAGCATGATCTCAGGAGTGTTCTGCAAATCAGGTATCATTCTACCAATATTATTTTTCTGGCTAAATAAAATAAAATTCTTTGGACCTGAAAATAAAATATGCAAAAAGAATTAATAATTTTTTTTAATCAATGTACATTTACTTTGTAATTTCTTAAACCTTATATCAACTTTATGTTTTTAAATAATTAGTTTAATTATAATTATTTGTTTTATTTAATATTGTATAAATTGTTATACAATATTACTCAATTTTTTTCAAATCAGATTTTTGTAATACAAAACAATTCTTTTGACAGTACATAGTAAAACAGTATATACCTAAACAAAACATTCAGTTCTGGCAGTGTAATAAACTTTTGATATATTTTAAATGTACTCTATCTTTTTCTTCATATATTCTCACACTTGTCTTCATGTTCTTCTGTTTTGTAGAATTTCCTACTTTAGAGTATACTTCTATTTTAACATATCTAGTATGTTAAATATATATATTATACATAACACTATTGAATATATAGCTTTATATGTCAACAACAAGGACATTATTTCAGTGTAATTGCTATTTTTCTATTTTACTGCTTGAAATATACAGGGTTATTCATTTTATGGCCGTTTCAAAGTGGAACTTTGAAACGGTCATAAAATGAAAACTGTAGGACAGAATGTTATCAAACTTGGTAATAGTGTACAGGACATCATGGGATTTTATTTCCTGTGAAAAAAAAAATTAATTTTGTTCAAAAACTCACCACCAATGGAAAAATGGTGCTGTCTGCAATATTGTTAAACAAAATAACACATGAAGACATTGTTGAAAATATTTTTAATTAATTTTAAAATGTGTTACAGAGCATGTTCAATGTGGTGTCCACCATTTTTGATAAGCAAGTTACACCGCGTTACTGTGTTCTCAACAATAGCTCTTAGCATATCAGGAGTAACCCTGCAAACAGTTTCATTTTAAAACTGATTAAAAACATTTTCAACGATGTCTTCATGTCTTATTTCATTTAACAATATTGCAGACAGCACCATTTTTCAGTTAGTGGTGAGTTTTTGTACAAAATTAATTTTTTTTCACAGGAAATAAAATCCCATGACGTCCTGTACACTATTACCAAGTTTGATAACATTCTGTCCTACAGTTTTCATTTTATGGCCATTTCAAAGTGGAACTTTAATTATAATCACCCTGTATACCATACTTTCAACAGTATATCTTATGACACAGTTAAAATAGCAACATTTTAAATAATGAATAATTCTGAATCAGAAATTGAAGTTTACATTATTTCACTTTTGCTATCTGATAATATATAATTGGTATCACAAGCATGTAAATAACCTTCTATACCAGGGTTGTCCAATGTTTTTCCCTAATTGGCCAAATTAGAAATTTAGGTACATTCAGCAGGCCACAAAGGTTCATTATATAAATATATGCTTTTTAAAAGTTCAAAAATATGAATATCAAATTTTAATAACAAATATACATAATTACAAAAAATATTGTATTATTGATAGTAAAAAAGAAATTATACTCACACAAAATAAAAATAAATTTAATGTGATTTCTGACATTGCCTTCCTTTTATAATATTGTCAATATCTGCTTTTATAGTACTAGTCTTAATTCTAAGAATGTTAGTTAAATGGGAATCACTCAACTTATTTCTTTCAGCAGTTTTCATGTTTTTCATGCACAAAAAGAATTGTTTACAACAGTATGTTATGCATGTGAGGTAGTACAGTTTTCTAGCACCAATTACATCATTATGATATCAAAGCGTATCCAGTGAAATGAGAATAATTTTTACAACATACAGTAGACCCCCTATAACGCGAGTTCCTATAACGTAGATTCCTATAACACAGCGAAAAAATTGCGACAATATTCGTATAAAGACACTAAAATGGATGCGTAAAATGCAGTAAAACATCATCGCCAGCTCGTCTTCGCGGACGAGCAGCCGAACTACTTTCCGCCATCCAGCGCCACGCTACGGAGAGTTTAGGCGGGTAAATTGAGTTTACTATCGTCTGTACAGTATTATATATAAATTATATATAAATTAGATAATGTACATGTAATTATATATTAATTATATATAAATTAGGTACTGTATATATAATTATATATTAACTTAATTTATAGTAACTTTATTATAATTATATGTATACTTTCCGCCATCTAGCGCCACGCTACGGAGAGTTTAGGCAAGTAAGTTGAGTTTACTATCATTTGTACAGTATGTAAATTAGGTACCGTAAGTCTAATACAGCACTGTAATTTTATACATTTCTTGTGAAAGAAACATTTCTTATTCAACGGCCATAAAAATTATTTATATTAATGATGTCTCCAAAGTTTTCGCAGAAAAATAACATCAGAAATCGCGGCCGCCGTTTGGTGCGCTGGTCTGCGATTTAGTCAATACTGATCATGATTGTGTGTTTGAAGTCAATACTGATCATGATTGTGTGTTTACCCATTTGCTTGGCCTTCTGGACATAAGAGATGATGTTTTCCAGGGCGTGGTGAGTGGCCTTCCCTCTCACAAATCCATATTGGTTTGGGTTGAGAAAGTTGTTAACATTTAAATGGTGGAGGATCTTTTCGGCCATTAAGGCATCCGACACCTTCCCAACCACAGAGAGGAGTGAGATGGGTCGGTAGTCAGCTGCGGCAGAGGGAGGAGAATCCTTGTCTTTCAGAATTAGCTTTATCGAGGCCTCTTTCCATTTTTTTGGAAAGTATCCACAGTCATAGCACTTGTTAAATAGGACCAGGAAGGTGGTGGGAATGGCTTCAAATGCGTACCGGGCCATCCTCCAGTCTATGGAATCTGGTCCAGGTGCCTTCCGTTTCTTAATTTTGTTGAATTGTCACATAATTTCTTGGGTGGTAAAAGGCCTATCATATTCTGTTGATAGGGTATTTTTACTCCAATTCCTGATCTCTCTGTGGTATTCTGTGTCAGTATTTGGATTGTCAGGAGGAAACAGGTCCGAGAAGATGCATTTGTAAGTTTCTTCTGGGGTGGTTGTGAAGTTGTGGTCATCTGCGATAGTAGCTGGAGTTGTGAGCGGCTTTCTATTTTTTATAGCTGTATAGTATGGGGTTGACCAAGTTCCAGTTCATTGGAGGCAGTGCAGAAGCTCTGCCATAACTTTTTCTTGTGTGGTTGATTAAAGTTTTGTATTCTCTAAAGTACCTTTTATGAAATCCGGAATTTTTACCAAATTTTCTGATTAATATCCCGCATTTTCCTAAACCCCCAATTAAATTTTCCTTTAAATTCTAAACTAAACCCTAATGTGAAAAAGGGAAAAATTCCAATCTCCCCTTTCATTCAAAGTAAACATTGTCCACTTTGAAAATAATCCCACATTCCAACTCCAAAGTTGATAGTTAGCATGGGCCCAGGGACAACTTTGGCCCATCCACATACCTTTTACCTCACAACACTTAATCACATGACCATTCTCCCACGACAAAACTATAAAAGCCGCTTGCCTCCCCCTCTCGGGGGAGTTGTTCATCAACCGCCAACTACAATTTCCTCAAATATTTTGTCTTACAAATATTGTGTCCTACGAATCTTGTATCCTACGAATATTGTGTCCTACGTACAATATTAATTTCCTCAAGAAAACTATCAACATAAAGAGGTATGGAACAAATTTTTGTGAACTCTCTCTCGGCCCTTCGCATTTTAGGAACTCAGAATTTCCCCTCGATAATAGTTATTGTACTGTCTATGTAGATAGCTAATAAATCATTGTTTCCTTGTTAAATTGGTGTCCTGTTTTACTCATATATCGCTTGTCACCTTACTGACGGCACTCCTCCCTCCTCCACTCGATCCAAACAATTAAATCCCGTTACCGCGGGATAAGGAAGAAGAAACATTTAAGCCATCTTGACAGTGAGCAGGTTTAATGACCTGTTGCCGGAAAGGGAGACCTCCAACCTCCCTGGCAGTTCACACTTTGATAGATTTGATGAAGACTTTGCTTATTGATAGAATCTGTTTCTCTCCTGTACCTATGTTTTGCTATTCGCACTTTTCTCCTGTGGGCTTCAAGATCTCTGTTCCACCAGGGTGCAGATGGCTTGCAAGTTTTAATTCTATTAGTCTTATAATAGGCCGTATGGAGAGTGTTCTGAAGTTGTTCAACAGCATAGTCGATTTCTTGAGGATGTTCCAGTGAGGTCAGTCCTCTGGGGGTCCCAGTATGCTTTGATGTGTTCTTGAAAGAGGTCCCAATTCGTGATGTTTTGTATTATAAGGTTGTCTGGGCATTTTATACTAGAGATCTTATTAATGATGTAAGCATGGTCACTGGCAGATATGCACTCTTGAGTCTGGCAGCTGATGGTGAATTCTTGCAGTTTAGTATTACCCAGACACAAATCGATCCAGCTGTTCCCGTTGTTACTTGAAAAGGTTGGCAGGTGGCTGGTGTTTAGAGACTGAAGGTTATGTTCTGACATGAACTCACTCACGGTGTAGCCTCTTGGGTCTTCGACTGGGCTGTGCCAGATGGGGAACTTAAGAGTTGAATCTCCTGCAAGGCAGGAATCACTTGTTACAAAAGCTAATGGTCTTGGGAAGTAGTTGATTTCAAACATAAAAATTTTAAAATAAAATCAGAAGTCATTCTAACCAGAGAGCTATGTAATTGGAATGCAATGGATTTTCAGCTACAAGATGTGAATGCATGAGGTCCATACTTTGCAATTTTTTGTAATGACTGCTCCTACTAGAGTGGAGTGATCTTCCCATCAGTTCACGAAACATTACAAGGCCAATTTCATCAACATCCATTTTTGCAGTACAAAAGTTTACAAAATCAATTCTTTGCTGGGAGCTTGAGGCATTAATTGTTGCACAAAGTGAATGTTGTAGAGGTACCAGTAGAGAATGATATACAATATTTTGCAAACATTCAACAATAGCTGTGACAATTGATGTAGTGACATTTGTAAAATGTTGTTCATTTGCTGTATTAGCCATCATAGCATTTGTAACATTTTCAACCACTTCTGTAGCAACAGGATGCAGTTCTCTTTCTGGCACTAGGACTTCATTTGTCATTTCAAATTTTGAAATTATATTCTTTAAATTGTTTCTAGACATTGGAATATTGGTTATTTTCTCAATCCATTTAAACATCAATATTCTATTTATATGACCAAGGCATTGCTACTGTTTTGACATTTTATCCAATCATGATTGTGATTTAATAGCATGCAATGTAATTTCCTATTTTTATAATATAGGACTGATTTTGTAATTTGTATAACTTACACGTAACTAAAACTCAAACAGTGCCATTTCTATTCCTGGTGGAGAACTTAAAACTAAAAAGTTTTGTCATAAATGGCTTCCCCATGTTTCCAATAGCTTAAATTTATAATTTCATTGACATATGTTAGAGAATTTTAGAGTAAAATCTCTAAAGTAGTGTCAGTTTACTTATAATCACCCTGCACATATATGCATACACATAATATAAGAGAAATTAAAAATGAATGTTAATTACATTCCTTTTAATTGTTGCTTTCTTTGTAGCATTTATTTCAAATCATAATAAATATGAAAATGCAGAGTAATTCACTCAAGAATGAACATTTATTATGTGGAATATCTCTATTTAAAATGAAAAGATAAACATGAAACACAAATGAAACAATTCTTTATTTTGTGACAAAACAGTCAACCAATGTTTTACATTAAATGTTATTCAAATGTGAATCTGCTATCATGAGATATTGAACAAAGTAAGTGTTCAATCCCAAATGAATGTATATTTCAGTAGTATAATATAGATATTTATTACCCAGTTTCAATATTCTTAATGTAAACTTAAAATTGATGATCTACTCACTCAAACAAGTTTTGTTGTCTGATGCTAATTCATAATGACTAGGACAGGCACAACAATAGTTGTATGATTTATGTTGACTTTTACTTGGCAGGGCAAGACATAGATGAGAACATCCACCATTATTAACTGCACATGGATTCCAACCTGAAAATAATTTATAATATGAGTTTTCTTTATCTGTTATCAAAGTTAAGATAATTTTCATTATTTTATTTTGTTATTAATATTAAATATAATATACAATGTACATTTTCAAAGTTTACATAATAAGAAAACTTTGAGTGTTTGCAAACACCAACAATTATAAATACAGATCACTTTATTTAAAATTAAAGCAGATTTAAATGAAGACAGACAATTTTTATTTTAACAGGATTGTTCTCAAACTTCCTAGTTCAGCATCAGCTGTTTCAATTGCTGAAAATGCTTACAATCAAATAAATTTAATTTTGAATTTTAAATAGAAATCAAATTTCAAATAAAACATTGAACGTTCATAAAGATTTGTAACAGTTAAAAATTATATAATGAAAAAATTTATGCTTTTTATCATTATATTTAATTATTATTTTAATAATTTTGTATGATGATTTTAAAATTTATTTTATATGACATATAAAATAACATTATTAGCATATGTTATAAGTGTCAAGAATATGACATACTTCATAATGATATTCTTATATGAAATAATGCCTAATCTATATGACGTTATTTTTTGAATATAAAAATATATGCAATATAAATCATAAGTTTAACATGTTTATTATTATTAATTAAAAATATAAAGTAATTTATAAGTAATAAAGTTATATAATAAGTACATTATTTATTGGAAAAATGACTGATCATTATTAAATACTTACAAATTTTTAAAATTTAATGTTTTAAATTTAAACATACCAGACTGTCTAGAGGTATGATACACNACATTATGATTATGATTTATTATTACAAAATTGTACCTAAAATGCATTTCTGTTGTTCAATATTCTAACATAATTTTGTATAAAATATTTAGCTTACAATCATCACAACACTTTTCTATCAAAAAAAGAAAGGGGAAAATAGAATCAGTGGCACTCAAAATCATTGAATTGTCACAAAATTTTTGAACAAGTAAGCAAAGCCTATGGGCAAGCATTACTCACTACATATATCACAGACTGCATGATCTTGCCACAACCTGAATCACACAGTATCTTCTGGAAACTACCACCAAATCCTGGCACTCACAGGCACACTGCCACCATCATCTTGCAGCTTGTTTTGAAATCACTGGATGATAAAACGGGGGCTTCTTGGAGGACCCTCCATATAAATAAGGAGGATCCCTCAGTTGATAAAATGGAAGAGGCTGAATTTTGATTTTTTTTAATGGAAGGATCCCACATTAATTTTTTGATTTTAAGCTTTTAAGATTAATTTTATCACTTTTACTGAAATATTCTTATTTGATATGTGTATCAAACTGTTTAATCAAACTAATATAATTAAATTTTTAATGACTTACCCTTTATTAGGATGAATTGCTATATGCCTTGGTTTCTGATCATCACCACTGATGATAATTCCAATAGCTTTTCCATTTAATTTTGTTACATTAATAACATTGTGTCGTGCACATGACCAATACAGACTACGAGAATATGGTTCTATTGCCATATCAATTGGATGAATCAATTCATTGAGACTTTGTACAACAACACTCATCTATTCAAATCAGAAATATATTTAACTAATTTAAATAAAATAAATAAAATATACAACATTTTATTTTACCTTTGTTCCATTATCATAACCCCTTCGAATTGTTTGAGACCTGCCATCTATCCAATAAATGAATTTGTCTATATAATCATATTCAAGACCTCTCACATGTTTTAGATGAGAGATGGGAAGCATGATCTCAGGAGTGTTCTGCAAATCAGGTATCATTCTACCAATATTATTTTTCTGGCTAAATAAAATAAAATTCTTTGGACCTGAAAATAAAATATGCAAAAAGAATTAATAATTTTTTTTAATCAATGTACATTTACTTTGTAATTTCTTAAACCTTATATCAACTTTATGTTTTTAAATAATTAGTTTAATTATAATTATTTGTTTTATTTAATATTGTATAAATTGTTATACAATATTACTCAATTTTTTTCAAATCAGATTTTTGTAATACAAAACAATTCTTTTGACAGTACATAGTAAAACAGTATATACCTAAACAAAACATTCAGTTCTGGCAGTGTAATAAACTTTTGATATATTTTAAATGTACTCTATCTTTTTCTTCATATATTCTCACACTTGTCTTCATGTTCTTCTGTTTTGTAGAATTTCCTACTTTAGAGTATACTTCTATTTTAACATATCTAGTATGTTAAATATATATATTATACATAACACTATTGAATATATAGCTTTATATGTCAACAACAAGGACATTATTTCAGTGTAATTGCTATTTTTCTATTTTACTGCTTGAAATATACAGGGTTATTCATTTTATGGCTGTTTCAAAGTGGAACTTTGAAACGGTCATAAAATGAAAACTGTAGGACAGAATGTTATCAAACTTGGTAATAGTGTACAGGACATCATGGGATTTTATTTCCTGTGAAAAAAAAAATTAATTTTGTTCAAAAACTCACCACCAATGGAAAAATGGTGCTGTCTGCAATATTGTTAAACAAAATAACACATGAAGACATTGTTGAAAATATTTTTAATTAATTTTAAAATGTGTTACAGAGCATGTTCAATGTGGTGTCCACCATTTTTGATAAGCAAGTTACACCGCGTTACTGTGTTCTCAACAATAGCTCTTAGCATATCAGGAGTAACCCTGCAAACAGTTTCATTTTAAAACTGATTAAAAACATTTTCAACGATGTCTTCATGTCTTATTTCATTTAACAATATTGCAGACAGCACCATTTTTCAGTTAGTGGTGAGTTTTTGTACAAAATTAATTTTTTTTCACAGGAAATAAAATCCCATGACGTCCTGTACACTATTACCAAGTTTGATAACATTCTGTCCTAAAGTTTTCATTTTATGGCCATTTCAAAGTGGAACTTTAATTATAATCACCCTGTATACCATACTTTCAACAGTATATCTTATGACACAGTTAAAATAGCAACATTTTAAATAATGAATAATTCTGAATCAGAAATTGAAGTTTACATTATTTCACTTTTGCTATCTGATAATATATAATTGGTATCACAAGCATGTAAATAACCTTCTATACCAGGGTTGTCCAATGTTTTTCCCTAATTGGCCAAATTAGAAATTTAGGTACATTCAGCAGGCCACAAAGGTTCATTATATAAATATATGCTTTTTAAAAGTTCAAAAATATGAATATCAAATTTTAATAACAAATATACATAATTACAAAAAATATTGTATTATTGATAGTAAAAAAGAAATTATACTCACACAAAATAAAAATAAATTTAATGTGATTTCTGACATTGCCTTCCTTTTATAATATTGTCAATATCTGCTTTTATAGTACTAGTCTTAATTCTAAGAATGTTAGTTAAATGGGAATCACTCAACTTATTTCTTTCAGCAGTTTTCATGTTTTTCATGCACAAAAAGAATTGTTTACAACAGTATGTTATGCATGTGAGGTAGTACAGTTTTCTAGCACCAATTACATCATTATGATATCAAAGCGTATCCAGTGAAATGAGAATAATTTTTACAACATACAGTAGACCCCCTATAACGCGAGTTCCTATAACGTAGATTCCTATAACACAGCGAAAAAATTGCGACAATATTCGTATAAAGACACTAAAATGGATGCGTAAAATGCAGTAAAACATCATCGCCAGCTCGTCTTCGCGGACGAGCAGCCGAACTACTTTCCGCCATCCAGCGCCACGCTACGGAGAGTTTAGGCGGGTAAATTGAGTTTACTATCGTCTGTACAGTATTATATATAAATTATATATAAATTAGATAATGTACATGTAATTATATATTAATTATATATAAATTAGGTACTGTATATATAATTATATATTAACTTAATTTATAGTAACTTTATTATAATTATATGTATACTTTCCGCCATCTAGCGCCACGCTACGGAGAGTTTAGGCAAGTAAGTTGAGTTTACTATCATTTGTACAGTATGTAAATTAGGTACCGTAAGTCTAATACAGCACTGTAATTTTATACATTTCTTGTGAAAGAAACATTTCTTATTCAACGGCCATAAAAATTATTTATATTAATGATGTCTCCAAAGTTTTCGCAGAAAAATAACATCAGAAATCGCGGCCGCCGTTTGGTGCGCTGGTCTGCGATTTAGTCAATACTGATCATGATTGTGTGTTTGAAGTCAATACTGATCATGATTGTGTGTTTACCCATTTGCTTGGCCTTCTGGACATAAGAGATGATGTTTTCCAGGGCGTGGTGAGTGGCCTACCCTCTCACAAATCCATATTGGTTTGGGTTGAGAAAGTTGTTAACATTTAAATGGTGGAGGATCTTTTCGGCCATTAAGGCATCCGACACCTTCCCAACCACAGAGAGGAGTGAGATGGGTCGGTAGTCAGCTGCGGCAGAGGGAGGAGAATCCTTGTCTTTCAGAATTAGCTTTATCGAGGCCTCTTTCCATTTTTTTGGAAAGTATCCACAGTCATAGCACTTGTTAAATAGGACCAGGAAGGTGGTGGGAATGGCTTCAAATGCGTACCGGGCCATCCTCCAGTCTATGGAATCTGGTCCAGGTGCCTTCCGTTTCTTAATTTTGTTGAATTGTCACATAATTTCTTGGGTGGTAAAAGGCCTATCATATTCTGTTGATAGGGTATTTTTACTCCAATTCCTGATCTCTCTGTGGTATTCTGTGTCAGTATTTGGATTGTCAGGAGGAAACAGGTCCGAGAAGATGCATTTGTAAGTTTCTTCTGGGGCGGTTGTGAAGTTGTGGTCATCTGCGATAGTAGCTGGAGTTGTGAGCGGCTTTCTATTTTTTATAGCTGTATAGTATGGGGTTGACCAAGTTCCAGTTCATTGGAGGCAGTGCAGAAGCTCTGCCATAACTTTTTCTTGTGTGGTTGATTAAAGTTTTGTATTCTCTAAAGTACCTTTTATGAAATCCGGAATTTTTACCAAATTTTCTGATTAATATCCCGCATTTTCCTAAACCCCCAATTAAATTTTCCTTTAAATTCTAAACTAAACCCTAATGTGAAAAAGGGAAAAATTCCAATCTCCCCTTTCATTCAAAGTAAACATTGTCCACTTTGAAAATAATCCCACATTCCAACTCCAAAGTTGATAGTTAGCATGGGCCCAGGGACAACTTTGGCCCATCCACATACCTTTTACCTCACAACACTTAATCACATGACCATTCTCCCACGACAAAACTATAAAAGCCGCTTGCCTCCCCCTCTCGGGGGAGTTGTTCATCAACCGCCAACTACAATTTCCTCAAATATTTTGTCTTACAAATATTGTGTCCTACGAATCTTGTATCCTACGAATATTGTGTCCTACGTACAATATTAATTTCCTCAAGAAAACTATCAACATAAAGAGGTATGGAACAAATTTTTGTGAACTCTCTCTCGGCCCTTCGCATTTTAGGAACTCAGAATTTCCCCTCGATAATAGTTATTGTACTGTCTATGTAGATAGCTAATAAATCATTGTTTCCTTGTTAAATTGGTGTCCTGTTTTACTCATATATCGCTTGTCACCTTACTGACGGCACTCCTCCCTCCTCCACTCGATCCAAACAATTAAATCCCGTTACCGCGGGATAAGGAAGAAGAAACATTTAAGCCATCTTGACAGTGAGCAGGTTTAATGACCTGTTGCCGGAAAGGGAGACCTCCAACCTCCCTGGCAGTTCACACTTTGATAGATTTGATGAAGACTTTGCTTATTGATAGAATCTGTTTCTCTCCTGTACCTATGTTTTGCTATTCGCACTTTTCTCCTGTGGGCTTCAAGATCTCTGTTCCACCAGGGTGCAGATGGCTTGCAAGTTTTAATTCTATTAGTCTTATAATAGGCCGTATGGAGAGTGTTCTGAAGTTGTTCAACAGCATAGTCGATTTCTTGAGGATGTTCCAGTGAGGTCAGTCCTCTGGGGGTCCCAGTATGCTTTGATGTGTTCTTGAAAGAGGTCCCAATTCGTGATGTTTTGTATTATAAGGTTGTCTGGGCATTTTATACTAGAGATCTTGTTAATGATGTAAGCATGGTCACTGGCAGATATGCACTCTTGAGTCTGGCAGCTGATGGTGAATTCTTGCAGTTTAGTATTACCCAGACACAAATCGATCCAGCTGTTCCCGTTGTTACTTGAAAAGGTTGGCAGGTGGCTGGTGTTTAGAGACTGAAGGTTATGTTCTGACATGAACTCACTCACGGTGTAGCCTCTTGGGTCTTCGACTGGGCTGTGCCAGATGGGGAACTTAAGAGTTGAATCTCCTGCAAGGCAGGAATCACTTGTTACAAAAGCTAATGGTCTTGGGAAGTAGTTGATTTCAAACATAAAAATTTTAAAATAAAATCAGAAGTCATTCTAACCAGAGAGCTATGTAATTGGAATGCAATGGATTTTCAGCTACAAGATGTGAATGCATGAGGTCCATACTTTGCAATTTTTTGTAATGACTGCTCCTACTAGAGTGGAGTGATCTTCCCATCAGTTCACGAAACATTACAAGGCCAATTTCATCAACATCCATTTTTGCAGTACAAAAGTTTACAAAATCAATTCTTTGCTGGGAGCTTGAGGCATTAATTGTTGCACAAAGTGAATGTTGTAGAGGTACCAGTAGAGAATGATATACAATATTTTGCAAACATTCAACAATAGCTGTGTCACTACATCAATTGTCACAGCTATTGAATTCTTGCTGTGAACATTTGCTGTATTAGCCATCATAGCATTTGTAACATTTTCAACCACTTCTGTAGCAACAGGATGCAGTTCTCTTTCTGGCACTAGGACTTCATTTGTCATTTCAAATTTTGAAATTATATTCTTTAAATTGTTTCTAGACATTGGAATATTGGTTATTTTCTCAATCCATTTAAACATCAATATTCTATTTATATGACCAAGGCATTGCTACTGTTTTGACATTTTATCCAATCATGATTGTGATTTAATAGCATGCAATGTAATTTCCTATTTTTATAATATAGGACTGATTTTGTAATTTGTATAACTTACACGTAACTAAAACTCAAACAGTGCCATTTCTATTCCTGGTGGAGAACTTAAAACTAAAAAGTTTTGTCATAAATGGCTTCCCCATGTTTCCAATAGCTTAAATTTATAATTTCATTGACATACGTTAGAGAATTTTAGAGTAAAATCTCTAAAGTAGTGTCAGTTTACTTATAATCACCCTGCACATATATGCATACACATAATATAAGAGAAATTAAAAATGAATGTTAATTACATTCCTTTTAATTGTTGCTTTCTTTGTAGCATTTATTTCAAATCATAATAAATATGAAAATGCAGAGTAATTCACTCAAGAATGAACATTTATTATGTGGAATATCTCTATTTAAAATGAAAAGATAAACATGAAACACAAATGAAACAATTCTTTATTTTGTGACAAAACAGTCAACCAATGTTTTACATTAAATGTTATTCAAATGTGAATCTGCTATCATGAGATATTGAACAAAGTAAGTGTTCAATCCCAAATGAATGTATATTTCAGTAGTATAATATAGATATTTATTACCCAGTTTCAATATTCTTAATGTAAACTTAAAATTGATGATCTACTCACTCAAACAAGTTTTGTTGTCTGATGCTAATTCATAATGACTAGGACAGGCACAACAATAGTTGTATGATTTATGTTGACTTTTACTTGGCAGGGCAAGACATAGATGAGAACATCCACCATTATTAACTGCACATGGATTCCAACCTGAAAATAATTTATAATATGAGTTTTCTTTATCTGTTATCAAAGTTAAGATAATTTTCATTATTTTATTTTGTTATTAATATTAAATATAATATACAATGTACATTTTCAAAGTTTACATAATAAGAAAACTTTGAGTGTTTGCAAACACCAACAATTATAAATACAGATCACTTTATTTAAAATTAAAGCAGATTTAAATGAAGACAGACAATTTTTATTTTAACAGGATTGTTCTCAAACTTCCTAGTTCAGCATCAGCTGTTTCAATTGCTGAAAATGCTTACAATCAAATAAATTTAATTTTGAATTTTAAATAGAAATCAAATTTCAAATAAAACATTGAACGTTCATAAAGATTTGTAACAGTTAAAAATTATATAATGAAAAAATTTATGCTTTTTATCATTATATTTAATTATTATTTTAATAATTTTGTATGATGATTTTAAAATTTATTTTATATGACATATAAAATAACATTATTAGCATATGTTATAAGTGTCAAGAATATGACATACTTCATAATGATATTCTTATATGAAATAATGCCTAATCTATATGACGTTATTTTTTGAATATAAAAATATATGCAATATAAATCATAAGTTTAACATGTTTATTATTATTAATTAAAAATATAAAGTAATTTATAAGTAATAAAGTTATATAATAAGTACATTATTTATTGGAAAAATGACTGATCATTATTAAATACTTACAAATTTTTAAAATTTAATGTTTTAAATTTAAACATACCAGACTGTCTAGAGGTATGATACACAACAATATCCACAACAAAATCAAGTTGTTTCTGAATATGTATCTGATTCTCTCCAGTAATTTTTGATGCTCTTTCTATTGTGCGAGTATCCCAATCTGACCAATAAATATTACCCTGATACTGAGTCAGGGCATGGGGATTCGGTAATGATTTTGGAATAACTTGTTGACGATTTCCTCCTAAATATATTTTAAAATAATTTTCTTAATATTTTAAACTTTAGTTTATTTAAAATAATAAAAAAAAACAATATAAATTTGTCAAAAAAGTGAACAAATAAAATTAATAAAGTTTAGGAATTAATAATGTAAAAATTGATGAAAAACCAATTAGTTGAAAAAGTTTTTTTTATTCTTAATTACAAACAGATATTCAGTTTTAATTTTGTCAAAATGAAAATATTTTATAATTAATGAAAAATACTTATTGAAATATAATATTATAGAATTGTACTATTATACAGGATGACAATTAAAGAAACTAGAATATTACAAAATTTTGTAATAAAGTAGTAACCTGTTAAATCTGCCGATTCAATAATCTTTGAATCAATGTCAATCCAAAATATTCTTCTATCTGTATAATCAATAGTAAGTCCATTTGCTCTTTTTACTTTAGAAATAATCTTAGTTCGGTCTGATCCATCCATTGCAGATTTTTCAATACGTGGATTAGATCCCCAATCACTCCAATACATATACCTGAAATAATAAAATTCATCAATTTTTCTTATTGTTTTATAAAATAAAACTATTATAACTTAAGTTGATAAAAGACACACAAAAGCAAATTGGTACTTCTCATTGTAATTATGGGAACATGTGCATATTTGTATGTAGGTATGTATTAATATGTATGATATAGATATATTAATCATAGATCATACATATTAATTAGTGATGTAACGAATATTCGGTTACTATTCGGTATTCGGCCTATTTTTCACTATTCGGCCGAATACCGGATATTTAATCACTATTCGGCCAAATACCGAATACCTAAAAACAGGAGTAATAAATAACAAAAGCACAGTAAATTAATCATTTTGGTATTTAGATTTAATGTTGTTGGGTTAGTGTTGTTTGTTTATATTTATCTATAACATGCACAAAATAAAAAAGAAAATAATATTAGTCACATGTATTCACAATTTATAATTACAAAGATCAGCACACGTACACGCCTATCGTTGGAGAATCCTCGCACATCTGAGGTCTGACCCTGCCTATCCTTTTTAAGCGCTTGTCTTTGCTCTTCTCTTTCTCTTTCCTCTATTGCTCTAGTCCATGTATGCCTATGCATACATCATAATACGCGCTCACGATACTTTCGATTCTTCACTTTTCCATCGTAGAGTTCCCATTTTACAATTACATGACTCAGCCCAATGATAATGGAGAAAAGAGACAGATAGGACGTTGGTATAAGTCACAGTTATGATTTCACAGATCCGAGACAGCTTGGTAGCCCGAACGGCCCCAGGCTTTCGCCCGTGCACGCTAAGTGACTTTCATTACAAGCATTTAACTTTCCAAAGTCTATGACAACAATTGTTTGGCATTAACGGCCGCAAATTTCGCGCCAATAAGCTGATTCGACTTGTTCGAATATGTTATCAACTCAATTTCATATTTATTTTCACATTTTCACTTCGCGGTCCTTCTCTGTTCTTTTTTCGTTATTTACACATGTAGGTCATTTCATTGTTATCCACATTTGATATCATCACTTATCACATACTTTCATGACAGTCTTGTCTGTCTGCTACAATTGCCAAGAATTAACGCAATTGGCAAAGCGTAGTGACAGGCCAATAGAGAGCAGGATCCTTGGCATAATGCGGTTTGCGCACCAATTTTCATACGTGCGTTAATCAAGCCGAATAGTTTGGCTGAATATTCGGTATCCGGCCTGAGACCGAATATACTATTCGTTGCAACACTATAACATTGATTGAAATAGAGAAACACAACCAAATAAATTTTCTAGATATTACTATATTTAATAAAATAGATAAATTCTCATTCAAATCATATAAAAAACCATGCAACATAATAAAGACCATAAATTATTACTCTTAACACCTGAAACCATAAAAAAGAACACATACATGATGGATATAAAAAATATATATATATACCAGAACTTCTGATAACAATGATTGCAAAACAGAATTAAAACAGTTAGATAAAAAATATGTCTTGAATAATTACCCCATGTATAAATTAAAAAAGTGGCATAAACAGTATTATAAAAATAGATTTAATACTAAATATAAAATTGATAAAACTTATAAATCTTTCCCTCATATTAATGATACACATAATAAGTGTAGTAAAATTTTAAAGGAAGATAATATAATTTTGGCCCCATCTTTAACTAATAAAATCTCACACAACATTCATTTTGAAAATATAAAATACAAATAAGGTAGACAAATTAAAAAAATCTGGGGTAGTATATAAAATAAGTTGTGATTGTCTAAACCCAAAAAATTATATATGTGAAACAGGTAGGCAATTAGAATTGAGAATTAAAGAACATGAAACCCCTATAGAATTAAAATACAACAATTCTCCTTGGTTGGATCACACAAATAATAGTAATTGCAGGATTGACAGAAATAACATAAAAATATTACATTATGAAAAAGGAATATATAAATGCAAATTTAAAGAACATATTGAAATAATAAAAATCAGTAATAATAATTTAGTGAATTTATCGAATGGCATGCAAATTGATGAACAGTGGCATAATGTAATAAAGGGCGTGACTTAAAAAATAAATTGTAATAAGAGTGTCGTATGAAGGTGAGAATTTTAAGACTGTGGATGAATGTAAAAAAAAAAAGCCATTATGTATGTATTATTGTTTTTTTAAAATTAACTAAATCATTTAATGGTAACTTGTAAAAACTGTTATGTGATTACAGTGGTTGTGAAAAATAAAAAATATGACATGGAGGTTTTTAAAAAAAATACCTAACATCATAAGTCAGAAAAATCATGTGTTACAACAATAACATTAACAAATATGATAAACTGTAATGGAAACATGATGCACGTATGAACCTTTTTTAAAATGATTAAATCATTGTTCTATGTTTTTGTAAACCTGTCGTTTTAATTACAGGTATTCTGATAACGTCTTAAAGTACACGATATGGTTTTAAATACCTTACCAGTAAAGTTATAAGTAAGAAGATACCCCATTATTGTTATTGTAATAACGTGTAACTTAATAATGTATATTTACTGTATTAAGGTTTTTAACTGTACCTGTGTAATAGTGTCATTTAATACACATTAATGTGTTTTTTTGGATTATACAAAATACCATTGTTAGAGTCATACAATTAGAAAAGCGTTGCTCTGTCTTCTCAGGTATGTAAAATAATTTAATTTATTTATTGTCTGTAAAAATCTTCTTCGCATGAAAAAATTTGTAAATTAATTTTTTGCTTTTGATGCTTTATACGTGTAGCATTTACACTGAAGAGGAGCTCATTAGGCCAGAAATGCATTTGTGATTTGCAATAAAAGAGTACCTAACCTTATAGCTGAGAGAAAGTCTACCGTTTTTACTAATTCGGATCAAAGAGACATATACTAAATCCCAAAAGAAAAACTGTTTGATGAGTTTGTAATTGCAATTTAAAATTGGCATATAATAATTTGTCAGATAGCCCACTAGTAATCCCCATGAAAGTATGGTAGTTATTTCAAAATGGCCTGCAATTTAGAAAAAACAATCCTTTTTGTTATTGCTTCTAATGATATAAAAGTAGTGACATTTATTATTAATTTATCCATTAAGTTTTCTTGAATAACATAATAATCTATTGAATCAATTTGCAGTTTACTTCATCACTTCACTAATATTTTGAAATCATTTATTAATTTATGAAAAATAAATATTTCATTTTATTAATATTATAAATTTTTAAAATATTTTATTTGATCAACTTACCCATCACTTGGATCAAGGGCTATTGACCTTGGATCATCTAAATCCTGCCACAGCAACACTTTCCTAGATAAACCATCAAGGCGAGAAACTTCAATACGATTTGACCCCATATCAGTCCAATATAAATTGTGTGCTATCCAATCAACTGCCATGCCTTCAGGATATTGTAACCCAAATTCAATAATATGTTCAACATTACTACCGTTCATAAAAGCTCTATTTATTGTCTAGAAAATAAATAAAAATAACACATTATATAATCAAATTAAAATAAAATACATTTAAAAGTTCAAATGTTGCTAATTGAAACAGTAATCAGATTTCTATGCTCTTTTCTAGTAAATGTAATATCAATTTTAATTCAAACGTAACTGTCTTGTTGAATTTTTCCAAATAATAAATGTTTATTTCTCACATTTGAAGCAAATAGGAGACAATTTATAAAAAAATAAATTATAATCTCTATTTTTTAACTTATTAAAAATCAATATTTAGCAAATCTAAATATGAACCATAGTACAGTACTTGGATTTCTGGTTAAGTTGTATTTCTATAAATTAACTGCATTTTCTACATAGTCCCCATAAAGTGTGATGTACTTATCCTATTTGTCAGTGCTCCAACTTCATAAAACCATTATAAAAAAGATCTTTCCTGTCTGTCACTCCACTCCAGCATGGCTGTCATCATGGTGTCATCATTTTAAAAACATTGTCCTTTCAGATGCCCTTTCATTGCTGTGAAATTGATGTGCTGCATCTAGTGAATATGGCATATGTTTCCAAAAGTACATCCATCATATTGCATTGGATGCATATACAAAAGTATATGCATCCAAAAGTACATTCATCATTGTCTGAAAGGCATGGTGGCACATTATCTTAATGGAAGATGATTCATCTCTCCCATTTTCCTGGGTATTTCTCTTTGATTGCATCCACTATTGTCACATTATAATCACATAATATAGTAATCACTGTTGATTGTCATTCCCAATGAAAAAAAAAAAAATCAATAACCAGTATTTTTGCATCTCAAAAATATCAATGCAATGACCTTGCTGGCCAATGGCTGAGTTCAAAATTTCTTTGGGAGTGGAGACACCTTGTGCTTCTATTGTTTAAATTGAGCCTTTGTTTCTGGGTCAAATGATGCACTCAGGATTCATTCTTGGTGACAAGATGATTCAGGAAGTATTCTTTGTTGGCTTTTAGCTGCTGCAAATAAGGTTGTGCCAACACTCAAATATATTTTCATATTGACTGTAAATATGTGGAAAACCCAGCATTCTGAAACTTTTCACATGTCTAATTTGTCATTGATAATGGACTATACACAGTGAACTTGAATTATTAAATGTATATAAGTAGATATTGGGCATTGATACAAGTTATATATCACTTCAATAATCAGAGGAACTTTTATAGTAATTTTACATACTGATTAGTTATGTGCCAGATCATTAAAAATGTATATCTGCGGATACGGATACAGATACGGATCATTAGTGTCTAGATCCATGGATATGGATATGGATCTCAACTTTCCTACTCAGTCGGCACCGGTGCTTGTGACCTTGGATCGATAGTTGACATTTTTCTTTAGTAACGCAATGTGTTTTGACTTGCACTGAGTGTGTTTTTGTTTATAGTTTAGTGTGACATGGGATATAGCATAGATTATGTTTGTATCTTTGGAGAGTGTTGAGTTAAATTAAAATAAAAGCAATGTTGACAAAAAAGTTTAGTAGTATAATATGGAAATATTTTACAATAGTAAATGAATTTCGCATGATAAAATTTTTGCAATATGAATGTGCCAAATATGTAATTTTAAGAAATAAAAAGTGATTTGAATTGAAGTTATTAGTATTTTATTGCTACCTATCTTTAAAATTTCATATAAGTAATGAAATTCATTAAGATAAAAGATCCATTAAAGATCCGCTAAAAAGCAACAGATACGGATCTTTTTTCCCTCAGATATCCGCGGATACGGATATCTGGCACATCACTAATACTGATGAGAACCTCAAAATATAGATCAACTCTGACATGTGCACCTGAGGTGTGTGAAAAGGATAAGTTATAAAGACATCTACCATTTTTTATATTTCAGAGTGTTTCTTCTTTATTTGTATATTTTAATTACATATTTACAATACTAAATATTTTATAATCAACATCTAAAACAAATGTTTGAAAAAGTTAAATTCCTAATAATCAAATATCAAAATTATAACTTAATGCTCATCAATGGAAATATAATAAAGTTTTATAGTAAGATTTGAACTTTTAATTGTTTATTATATATCTATAATTTACATATTTAATGTGTAAGTTCCTAAACTTATCATCATTTAGAGGTTATATGCATTCTTCATACTCTTAATAATCCTCAAAAGATCAATCAGAAGAAGCAACCATCATTGAAATTTGATTTACATAAATAACACTCATAAATAGTGTAAGCTAGAGAAATTTATATAAATAAATAGTCTTCACTATATTTCTTTATTATATTTGTGTTGATTTCTAATCAGTATAACATGTCCTCTCTCTCTCTCTCTCCCTTTCAAATTCTTTTTAGATAACTTCTAAATTTTTCCTATTTATCATAGTAATTATTTCACATTTGAAAATTCCTATGTTCATTTGTTGTTAACAATAATAAGTTTTGATAGAAATTAAGTTTTTCAGGTTACATTAATTTATTGTTACAGTATTTTCCAATTCTAATAACTGAAAATTTTCTTTCTATAAGAAAGATTAGATATATGTATATTTTTTGGTAAAATTTCAACCATTTGAATGGATTTATTTTATTTTACTTTTTAGTTATTTAATAATTACTTATTTGTCATAAATGTAATAAGTCAATTAAGTCATTACAGAATTATTACAACTGTACTGAATAAAGTTTATAATCTCTGAAAAAAGTTTGATAACAACATAGTTGTTCAACTAATACTACATCTTATATTTTAGTTTATATTACTTTATTTGCAAAATTAAGGTTTGACTTTAAATTACATATACTCACTTTTTGATATACATCTGTCCAATAAATACGATCATCATTAATATCATAATCTAAGGCACTTGCTTCCGTTATTCCCGAAATAGGAATAACATCATTATGTTTTGATTCCAAAGATATTCGTCTGATATCAACCCGCCTTGAAAACAACAAAAATGCTTCAGGTACAATACAAGTTCTAAGGTCAGAAGCTAATTCCAAGCCCATAGGACAAGAACATATATATTTATTTTCGGGTTTATTTAAACACAAGTTGCTACAATTTCCATTATTTATGGCACAAGGATTGGTACCTAGAAAAACAGCAAACAATTTTATTTCTTTATGTAATATATGAATTTATATTAATATAATATCACTTAATATACACTAGTATATAAAATATTACTAAATTCAAGTTAGCATGCATTTATTTGAATACATGTTTTCAATCAAAGTTTGATTGACTTAACTTGACTTACCCTGACTAACTTTGTACAAAGTCCCTCACCCTCACATCCCTTACAGTATGGCATATTGACAAAATAAAACAGCATTTGATTTACGCTATTGATTCTACAACTTTTTAATTAGTTAGATTTTTAATTAACAGTTATATATTCTTTAAATTGCGAAATTATTAAAACTAAAATTAATATGTTTTATTAAATTAAAGTAGTTTATTTTGTTATTAATCCAAAACCATAATTCTACGTGGCTTTAAAAAGAAGAAAAAAGAAAAAAAGCAATTATTTATTTATTTATAATTCATTAACAAATCGTATACAAAAGTATATACTTACTAAATTTATCACTTAATAAATTTTCTGAATTTTATAAAAATATCAATAAACTGGAAAAAATCAGTTTCTTGTTATGCAATCAAAATTATTAAAATGAAAAATGATAAATTATACCATTTAAATTAAAATTATTTATCATTTTTTTGTGCTTTATAAATTTTTGGGAAAATTTTGTGCCTTGAATTCTGCACCCCTTTTCCTAAGTTGTATTGCACCACATTACTCCTTGCTGCCTGCAGGCAGTTACACTCAGTTAAGCATATTGTCAGCAAAAAAATCAACAAGGCAGCCAAGGAGGCAAATTCTTAGACTATTTTGACAATTTTTATGACTTTCCATGACTTTTTCTGAACACTAATGAAAATCCCTGACTTTCCCTAATTTTTTCTGACTTTCCAGATGTATAGGAACCCTGTCAGTATCAATAGTTAAACAATTTCTAACTGATTTCCTTGAGTTCCTACAAATTTAATGTCCAGAAATTAAAATGATGCTTTTAATTAGTTGAAAATTTTCAATTGTAAACAATTTTGAATTTGAAAAATAATTGTTTCCAAAATTTTAATTTCTTAATGGTTAGAAAAATAAAAAGAAAAGAAACAGTTGACAAACAGTGTTACTAAAAACAGTATAAATAGACTGTTTCTATTTGGTCTCTTTACTTTCTAACAAAGTTTTCCACCTTTGATTATTTTAACAATATCAACTCTTATCAATTATTCCATAATATCATATCATTTACATGAATTGCAAATTTCATGATATCAAACATTACTCATTTATAGTATCATTTAATATATTTCAGTAGAAAAAATATTTTAAACTTACCATGCTTTACAAAAATATTTACAGCTTTTAAGCCCATTAAATCTGGAAGTTGATCAATAATAGTTTCTCTCATATCACCAGTTTCTTTATGAACTCTTTCTATTGACCTCTGCTGCCAATCAGTCCAATAAACAAAATCACCTAGAAAATAACAATCATAAGTAAATAATTTTAAAAAATTAAAAAACATTGCTTATTATTTTTGTTAAGAAAAAATTAATTTGCTGTATTTTACATAAAAATAAGTGAAATGCATTACCCAATATTTTCATAACTTATAAAGATAACAATCATATTTTGTTATATTTTATACAAGAATATTTGGTTCATAATTTAACAAGAATTAAATAAAATGCAAAGATAAAACAGCTTAGAAGAATTTTCAGAAACAGGAAAATGCCCCCAGAATTTTTCTCTCACTTTTTATATAAAAAATAAAGATAGAGGAAAATTTGATTCAGATTACATTTAAATTATCATATAGTTATTTGATAATTTATTAAATCTTCATATACAATAGAGTGTCGATTATCTGAATCAATTGGGGACTGGGATTGTTCGGAAAATTGATATTTCGGATAACCAATTATGTACAAAAAAATATATTAACCTATCCCATGTTGAAATTTTTCTCCATTGCGTGTCGCTTCACGTTGAATTTTTGTCGATGTTAAGCCTAACGAAGACTATTGTATCATTAAAAGTTATTTTTTTATTTTGTACAAACAAAATAAATATATTGAAAAATATAAAAACAATAAAAAATTATACTTCAGAAGTTAATTTAGTATCAAAAACATAAAATATTTGAGTAGCCCAAGACAGCTAAAGATTGCAGTGCCACAGCACTGGCGAAAATTTAAATTTGCTGACTGGAATTCTTTCGGATAATTGACGTTTCGGATAATTGACTTTCAGATAATCGACACTCTACTGTATTCAAAATTTGCACTTACATCATTATTTTATTAAGTTTGTATCTTTATAACAAAATTTAGAAAAGTTAAATGTTAGAAAATTTATTAATGGTAAAATAATATAAAAAATAAAATAAAAACTTCAACATAAAATAGCTTACCTTCGAGAAAAAATTATCAAAATGTAAACATAGAAGGTTTTAATGCAGACAATAAGCAGAAAAACTGAAACAACAACAGGAAGAGGGCATTTACTGAATGCTTTTGCATAAAATACTGTGTTTAAATGAATACCAGACATTTCAAAAGTGCTAGGATAGAGAACAATATAGAAGTGATGACTTTGGATGAGAAAGTGCAACACATACATGTGTCAAGAAGGTCTTTCATGTGTGAAATCCATGAATTTAATGCAGTTGTCAGAAAAAAAATGTAAACAACTCCGACAGAAAAAACGCTCCTGGTGAGAATTATATCAGAGGTCACCGTTTGTTATAACAATTAGATGGGAAAGTTGACACATAGGTGTCAAGAATGCACCGTTATTGTCAACGTGTGACGATCATGTGACTCCTTTCCCACAACAAGCAAATAAAAGCTAGAGCCCCTGAAACTCAGCACATGTCCGCACATGGAAGTTATTTCTATACTTGTGCCAGTCGATCTCCATGCACAGGAATTGGATCCCATCGGAGAAGACACTGGACAGAAGACTACCTCTTCCATACAGACGATGTGCCAACTCTCCATTACTCTGAGAGGTATTTATGGGATTTAGAACTTGTAAAAATCACTCTCTCTCACCCTGAAATTAGGTCAGCGACATAGTTAAGAGATAAGTCGCCCATTTTATGTAAATAACGTAGTATAATCGCAGTTAACCATAGTATTCTTTTCGCTTCCTGTAACTTAGCTTAGTTATTCAATAAAGGGTTTGTTTATTTGTTAAACCTGTCTCCTGTCTGTGAAAGGATGCCTACCGGCTTACCGACACACTCCCCACTGACTTTTTGCCCTCCTAGCCATCCAAAGACTCCAAGACCGGGTTTTACCAGCCTGTGCACTGTAAGTGATCAGGAGGGATTAACCCCTGGCCCTCTGCTTGTGTCACACATGCATGACTGTAATTCACATGTCTGATGTCAATGAAAATACCTTATAATACAGAAAAAATAATAAAAAAATAAAACAAACTGAGATCAAAGAGACAGTGTCATCTGTTGAAGTTCATACTGCTAAATATGAGAGTTATAAGTGATTTTGAAAGTAGAGAATAATGCATTGTTCATTTGAATTTAAGACAAACATAAGAAAAACTTTCCTATGAATGTTAGTATGATTTCTATCAAGGTCCTCATGTTTTATAACAGATTTAAGCAGCAGACTTCCTCAACCAGCTGCAATGCATACATCACTTTTGTTGCCAACAAAGACTTCAAAAAAAAGGATGTTATTCATTATGCAACATAAAAATAAACCATCAATGAATTGCTCAACTTACCAAAATTTTAAATGTTAACAGGAAACGCCATCTGTTATCATATTTTATTTTAACTTTTTATAGTTTTAACTATTATAAAACATTAAAATGCTTAATTTTGAGGGTAGAGATGAGTTTTATAAAAAAAAAAAAAAAACTGTAAATGCTAATTACAAATAAAATCATCATTAAGTCTGATCCTACTGGAGATACACACAACTCCCATTATCTCCCCACCCCCTTGACCTTTAACCACCAAAATTTAATAGCATCAATCCTATGCTGATATGCTACTCATTTATTAGATGTGAAACAAGAGAACTTGAATTGTATACAAACATCTCCAACCCGATATATAACATAGCTACAACCAACTGACTGCCGAAAATCTATCGGGCTAGTTTTATGCTAATTATTAAATAAATTACGTAATCAATTTGGTACTAGAGGTAAGCGTTAGGCGCCATCTCTTATTAATATTAATAATTATAAATAATTTTAATTAATTTAAATAATTTGNTTAAAATATTTTATTTGATCAACTTACCCATCACTTGGATCAAGGGCTATTGACCTTGGATCATCTAAATCCTGCCACAGCAACACTTTCCTAGATGAACCATCAAGGCGAGAAACTTCAATACGATTTGACCCCATATCAGTCCAATATAAATTGTGTGCTATCCAATCAACTGCCATGCCTTCAGGATATTGTAACCCAAATTCAATAATATGTTCAACATTACTACCGTTCATAAAAGCTCTATTTATTGTCTAGAAAATAAATAAAAATAACACATTATATAATCAAATTAAAATAAAATACATTTAAAAGTTCAAATGTTGCTAATTGAAACAGTAATCAGATTTCTATGCTCTTTTCTAGTAAATGTAATATCAATTTTAATTCAAACGTAACTGTCTTGTTGAATTTTTCCAAATAATAAATGTTTATTTCTCACATTTGAAGCAAATAGGAGACAATTTATAAAAAAATAAATTATAATCTCTATTTTTTAACTTATTAAAAATCAATATTTAGCAAATCTAAATATGAACCATAGTACAGTACTTGGATTTCTGGTTAAGTTGTATTTCTATAAATTAACTGCATTTTCTACATAGTCCCCATAAAGTGTGATGTACTTATCCTATTTGTCAGTGCTCCAACTTCATAAAACCATTATAAAAAAGATCTTTCCTGTCTGTCACTCCACTCCAGCATGGCTGTCATCATGGTGTCATCATTTTAAAAACATTGTCCTTTCAGATGCCCTTTCATTGCTGTGAAATTGATGTGCTGCATCTAGTGAATATGGCATATGTTTCCAAAAGTACATCCATCATATTGCATTGGATGCATATACAAAAGTATATGCATCCAAAAGTACATTCATCATTGTCTGAAAGGCATGGTGGCACATTATCTTAATGGAAGATGATTCATCTCTCCCATTTTCCTGGGTATTTCTCTTTGATTGCATCCACTATTGTCACATTATAATCACATAATATAGTAATCACTGTTGATTGTCATTCCCAATGAAAAAAAAAAAAATCAATAACCAGTATTTTTGCATCTCAAAAATATCAATGCAATGACCTTGCTGGCCAATGGCTGAGTTCAAAATTTCTTTGGGAGTGGAGACACCTTGTGCTTCTATTGTTTAAATTGAGCCTTTGTTTCTGGGTCAAATGATGCACTCAGGATTCATTCTTGGTGACAAGATGATTCAGGAAGTATTCTTTGTTGGCTTTTAGCTGCTGCAAATAAGGTTGTGCCAACACTCAAATATATTTTCATATTGACTGTAAATATGTGGAAAACCCAGCATTCTGAAACTTTTCACATGTCTAATTTGTCATTGATAATGGACTATACACAGTGAACTTGAATTATTAAATGTATATAAGTAGATATTGGGCATTGATACAAGTTATATATCACTTCAATAATCAGAGGAACTTTTATAGTAATTTTACATACTGATTAGTTATGTGCCAGATCATTAAAAATGTATATCTGCGGATACGGATACAGATACGGATCATTAGTGTCTAGATCCATGGATATGGATATGGATCTCAACTTTCCTACTCAGTCGGCACCGGTGCTTGTGACCTTGGATCGATAGTTGACATTTTTCTTTAGTAACGCAATGTGTTTTGACTTGCACTGAGTGTGTTTTTGTTTATAGTTTAGTGTGACATGGGATATAGCATAGATTATGTTTGTATCTTTGGAGAGTGTTGAGTTAAATTAAAATAAAAGCAATGTTGACAAAAAAGTTTAGTAGTATAATATGGAAATATTTTACAATAGTAAATGAATTTCGCATGATAAAATTTTTGCAATATGAATGTGCCAAATATGTAATTTTAAGAAATAAAAAGTGATTTGAATTGAAGTTATTAGTATTTTATTGCTACCTATCTTTAAAATTTCATATAAGTAATGAAATTCATTAAGATAAAAGATCCATTAAAGATCCGCTAAAAAGCAACAGATACGGATCTTTTTTCCCTCAGATATCCGCGGATACGGATATCTGGCACATCACTAATACTGATGAGAACCTCAAAATATAGATCAACTCTGACATGTGCACCTGAGGTGTGTGAAAAGGATAAGTTATAAAGACATCTACCATTTTTTATATTTCAGAGTGTTTCTTCTTTATTTGTATATTTTAATTACATATTTACAATACTAAATATTTTATAATCATCATCTAAAACAAATGTTTGAAAAAGTTAAATTCCTAATAATCAAATATCAAAATTATAACTTAATGCTCATCAATGGAAATATAATAAAGTTTTATAGTAAGATTTGAACTTTTAATTGTTTATTATATATCTATAATTTACATATTTAATGTGTAAGTTCCTAAACTTATCATCATTTAGAGGTTATATGCATTCTTCATACTCTTAATAATCCTCAAAAGATCAATCAGAAGAAGCAACCATCATTGAAATTTGATTTACATAAATAACACTCATAAATAGTGTAAGCTAGAGAAATTTATATAAATAAATAGTCTTCACTATATTTCTTTATTATATTTGTGTTGATTTCTAATCAGTATAACATGTCCTCTCTCTCTCTCTCTCCCTTTCAAATTCTTTTTAGATAACTTCTAAATTTTTCCTATTTATCATAGTAATTATTTCACATTTGAAAATTCCTATGTTCATTTGTTGTTAACAATAATAAGTTTTGATAGAAATTAAGTTTTTCAGGTTACATTAATTTATTGTTACAGTATTTTCCAATTCTAATAACTGAAAATTTTCTTTCTATAAGAAAGATTAGATATATGTATATTTTTTGGTAAAATTTCAACCATTTGAATGGATTTATTTTATTTTACTTTTTAGTTATTTAATAATTACTTATTTGTCATAAATGTAATAAGTCAATTAAGTCATTACAGAATTATTACAACTGTACTGAATAAAGTTTATAATCTCTGAAAAAAGTTTGATAACAACATAGTTGTTCAACTAATACTACATCTTATATTTTAGTTTATATTACTTTATTTGCAAAATTAAGGTTTGACTTTAAATTACATATACTCACTTTTTGATATACATCTGTCCAATAAATACGATCATCATTAATATCATAATCTAAGGCACTTGCTTCCGTTATTCCCGAAATAGGAATAACATCATTATGTTTTGATTCCAAAGATATTCGTCTGATATCAACCCGCCTTGAAAACAACAAAAATGCTTCAGGTACAATACAAGTTCTAAGGTCAGAAGCTAATTCCAAGCCCATAGGACAAGAACATATATATTTATTTTCGGGTTTATTTAAACACAAGTTGCTACAATTTCCATTATTTATGGCACAAGGATTGGTACCTAGAAAAACAGCAAACAATTTTATTTCTTTATGTAATATATGAATTTATATTAATATAATATCACTTAATATACACTAGTATATAAAATATTACTAAATTCAAGTTAGCATGCATTTATTTGAATACATGTTTTCAATCAAAGTTTGATTGACTTAACTTGACTTACCCTGACTAACTTTGTACAAAGTCCCTCACCCTCACATCCCTTACAGTATGGCATATTGACAAAATAAAACAGCATTTGATTTACGCTATTGATTCTACAACTTTTTAATTAGTTAGATTTTTAATTAACAGTTATATATTCTTTAAATTGCGAAATTATTAAAACTAAAATTAATATGTTTTATTAAATTAAAGTAGTTTATTTTGTTATTAATATTAAATATAATATACAATGTACATTTTCAAAGTTTACATAATAAGAAAACTTTGAGTGTTTGCAAACACCAACAATTATAAATACAGATCACTTTATTTAAAATTAAAGCAGATTTAAATGAAGACAGACAATTTTTATTTTAACAGGATTGTTCTCAAACTTCCTAGTTCAGCATCAGCTGTTTCAATTGCTGAAAATGCTTACAATCAAATAAATTTNTTCCAGTAAACCGTGAATACTTAAAAACTCTTTGGCTTCTGTAAATAATCAGTCATGAAAGATGATGTTCTTTTATTAAGATTATTCTGGATGTTTTCAGATTCCTTCTTTTTCGCTTCCTCTTGCTTTTGAACATTTAACACTAATAAGCATCACTCGTACTTCATTCACATTCTTGCTGTTAATAGCCTTCTCCAGTTTTGTTTTGTTTGTTGTTTCTAACAAAACTTGGTCTGTCGCATGTACAGTATTTCTTTTTCTTTTACATTTTTCTGGTTTAAACTCAGCTGCAGTTGTATAATCTTTATGTTACGAACAGTTTTCTTTTGTTGTTCTTCAAAATGTTTCTGTGCTCTTTTTTTCTGTTTCTCTTATTGTTTTAACTTCTTTTCATTTTCCAATTATTCTTGATAATTTATATGAGCTGAGGGAGCTAATTTCAGTAGTCCTTTGTAATAGGTACAAGGTGGGGCTTTGGTCATACATGTTTAGTCCCTCCCTAACAATCAAAAGTGAATTAAGTATTTTTTCCAACACTGATGGAGAAAGTGCCCAGAATGAAATTGACCCTCTCTCTCATGGGAATGCTGATTTCACTATTTTGGCTATACTGGAANTACTTTATTAATATAAAATTAATTTATTTAATAATTAGCATAAAACTAGCCCGATAGATTTTCGGCAGTCAGTTGGTTGAACTTGAATTGGTTCCATCACTATGTTATTCCCAAAGTCAAAGAATTCCTGGAGGAAAAAAGGCATTTCCACTTAAAGTCCTCTTTGTACTAGTCAGTTTGATACCCCAGGACATGTGACAAAAATGAATCTCCAAATGACAAAGCAGAGATTGTCTACCTATTTCCTAATACTATATTCCTTATCCAGCTGCTCAATGAAGAGATAAGCATATCCTTTAAAGACAATTATGAGAAGTATGGGTTGCACTGCTGGGGCTTTGAACACTAATATAGCTGACAGCTTCTTTATAATAAGCTAGGTACTGAAGGACACCAAACAAATCTGTAACCATCTGTAAACCACATGTTGGAAGAACTTGTGATCCAAGACTGTAAATAGCATAATTTCAGATGAACAACAAATTCTAGATGTTCAGGATCTTTATAATTAAAGTTCCACTTTTAAATGGCCATAAAAGGAAAACTACTGGACAAAATGTTATCACACTTGGTAATAGTTCACAGTAAGTCATAGGATTTTATTCCCCTCCAAAAAAATAGTTCAAAAACTCACCACCAGTGGGAAATGGTGCTGTATGCAATATTGTTAAATGAAATAACACATTAATACATCAGTTAAAAATGTTTTTAATCATTTCTAAAATATGTTACAATGTGGTGTCCATGATTTTCTCAAAGCAAGTTAAATCACATTACTGTGTTCTCAACAGTAGCTCTTAGCATATCAGGAGGAATGTTATGGACTTGTCGGTGTATCGCATTTTTCAATTCCGCCAAATTGTTCATTTTCAACTAATGTCTTCATGTCTTATTTTGTTTAACAATATTGCATGTAGTGCCAATCCCACTGGTGGTGAGTTTTTGAACTATTTTTTGAAGGGGAATAAAATCCCATGACTTACTGTGAACTATTACCAAGTGTGATAACATTTTGTCCAGTAGTTTTCCTTTTATGGCCAAAATGGAACTTTAATTATAAAGACCCTGTATATCATGAAAAAAACTCACTGCTGAAATAAATGCGTTGGCCAGGAGAATTGGTAGAAAAGGATTTAAGGACATAGAAGAGGAAAACATTGAGGACTTGCTATAACTGATGGGCAGACAATAGTATTCATGAATAACAATTTGGAGGAGCTTGCCTGTTTAAATTCTGAGGATAAAGATGAAAATGAGAAAAACAATTCCAAGAGAAAAAAATCCAAACTGAAAAATCTTGTACAAGTAATGTCTAATGCCATACACTGCAGACTTTTACAAATATGAAAACAATGCAATGAAGTTTAAGGAAAGACTAGACAATATTTTAACATCTTATCCAATTATATTCAGAGAATTAAAATAAAGAAAGAAAAAAAAAGCAGCAGCTTCCCATTACTATGTTCCTCTAAAAGACAAACATAGATATGTGTAATAATTAGTGATGCAATGAATAGTATATTCGGCCTCAGGCTGAATACCGAATATTCGGCCAGGAGTGTGGCTGAATAGCCAAATATTTGACCAAACTATTCGGCTTGATTAACACACATACGAAAAATGGCGTGCAAACCGCATTATGGCAAGGATCACGCACCCTGCTCTCTATTGGCTCGCTGTCACTACACTTTGCCAATTGCGTTAATTCTCGACAGCTGTAGTGGACAGACACGAGCATCATGGCAGTATGTGATAAGTGATGATATCAAATGTGGATAATAATGAAATGACCTACATAAGTAAATAATGGAAAAAGAACAGAGAAGGACACAAAATGAAAATGTGAAAATAAATATGAAATTGAGTTGATAACATAATTAAACAAGTGAAGGCAGCTTATTGATGCGAAATTCACAGTTGTCAATGCCAAATAATTGTTCTCATAGATTTTGGAAAGCTAAATGCTTGTAATGAAAGTCACTTAGCGTGCACGGGCAAAAGCCTGGGGCCATTCAGGCTACCAAGCTGTCTGGAACTTCAGTTATGATAAATAATTTTCTATTCAATTCAATTCAAAGTTTATTTATTGTATAAGGCTTTCGCCTGTTACAAGGACGTGATTTATTTATACAGCATATTCGTCTGCCACCATTAGAACCTTTTTCATATAGATATTAAACATTAGTTATCTAATATGTAATACATACACTTACTTATTTATTCTACATTTTTATTCACAATTTGCTTCGTATAATTGTATAACTTAAAGATAGTATTGATGTTTGCTTTGTCAAGGAACTTATACATATCCATTTCATTAGAGCAATTAACTAGTCGACCAATATCAGAATTTTGAATATTCTCATTTCCGCTGCAATTTTCACAAAGAATATGAAATTTTGATAATGTCTTACTGCAACTTGGGCATTTGGTGTGAGAGTAGTCTAGGAATTTATCATTTATAATTATCCAGTTTTTGTTTAGTCTTAACTGTATAAAAAATTTTTTAACATTAAATGAAAGATTTTTCAGCATATAACTATTATTTGATGGGTAATTTAAAATTATTTTATACCAACTTGTATTGTTTCGTTTCTGAATGTCAGCGATATCTTGGACAATAGAGTTTTCCATTACTCTTTGTATTAATAAATTATTTTGCTGTTCACTGATGTATGATTGATCCATAAATAGACTCATCGAAAATCCATATGTGTTAAATATCTTCGATAATTGTAATTTCATTTTAAATCTGTGATCTTTGATTTTTGATATAATTCATTCAGTAGTTTTGTTGTTAAATCTTCAGCATTTATAATTTTTTGTAGAAATTTTATATACCTTTTTATTAATATGGTGTTTAATTTATATCTACTTAGTTCCATTCTTAGAATACTGCCTGNAAATTATTAAAATGAAAAATGATAAATTATACCATTTAAATTAAAATTATTTATCATTTTTTTGTGCTTTATAAATTTTTGGGAAAATTTTGTGCCTTGAATTCTGCACCCCTTTTCCTAAGTTGTATTGCACCACATTACTCCTTGCTGCCTGCAGGCAGTTACACTCAGTTAAGCATATTGTCAGCAAAAAAATCAACAAGGCAGCCAAGGAGGCAAATTCTTAGACTATTTTGACAATTTTTATGACTTTCCATGACTTTTTCTGAACACTAATGAAAATCCCTGACTTTCCCTAATTTTTTCTGACTTTCCAGATGTATAGGAACCCTGTCAGTATCAATAGTTAAACAATTTCTAACTGATTTCCTTGAGTTCCTACAAATTTAATGTCCAGAAATTAAAATGATGCTTTTAATTAGTTGAAAATTTTCAATTGTAAACAATTTTGAATTTGAAAAATAATTGTTTCCAAAATTTTAATTTCTTAATGGTTAGAAAAATAAAAAGAAAAGAAACAGTTGACAAACAGTGTTACTAAAAACAGTATAAATAGACTGTTTCTATTTGGTCTCTTTACTTTCTAACAAAGTTTTCCACCTTTGATTATTTTAACAATATCAACTCTTATCAATTATTCCATAATATCATATCATTTACATGAATTGCAAATTTCATGATATCAAACATTACTCATTTATAGTATCATTTAATATATTTCAGTAGAAAAAATATTTTAAACTTACCATGCTTTACAAAAATATTTACAGCTTTTAAGCCCATTAAATCTGGAAGTTGATCAATAATAGTTTCTCTCATATCACCAGTTTCTTTATGAACTCTTTCTATTGACCTCTGCTGCCAATCAGTCCAATAAACAAAATCACCTAGAAAATAACAATCATAAGTAAATAATTTTAAAAAATTAAAAAACATTGCTTATTATTTTTGTTAAGAAAAAATTAATTTGCTGTATTTTACATAAAAATAAGTGAAATGCATTACCCAATATTTTCATAACTTATAAAGATAACAATCATATTTTGTTATATTTTATACAAGAATATTTGGTTCATAATTTAACAAGAATTAAATAAAATGCAAAGATAAAACAGCTTAGAAGAATTTTCAGAAACAGGAAAATGCCCCCAGAATTTTTCTCTCACTTTTTATATAAANTCTTGGGTTTTAAAGATTGCAGCATTACTTCTTGCCGCCTGCAGATGGCTGTGATTGGTCATCCATATTCAGCAAACCAGATCAACAATGCAGTTAAGTAGACAAATTCCCTGACTTTTTGACAATTTTTGACAGATTCCCTGACTTTTCCTGACCTTTTCCAAACACTAATGAAAATCCCTGACTTTCCCTGACTTTCCAGGTGTGTAGGAACCCTGTAAATAATATATATTTGTAATCTCATCATTTGTATTTTTATTCCATTCCTTTTCACTAAATATTTTGTTATGTTATTTTAAATATGGTCTCATTAATGTCTAAAATCCACACCTACGTCCACTCCACTTACCCGTGTCCCTCCCACTCAATATTCCTCTAAAAATTAGACGTAAGTGTGCCTAACACTATAACCAGGCTGGTGTCAGGAAAAACAACCTCCGGGGGATCTTACGGACTCTTGGTCTTAAAAAAAATATATTAGGAAGTCATCCATTGACAAGGAGGTCGGATCACAAGATCTAATGCAAGATAAGTGATCATTGGAAATTACCTGTGACCCTCTGTATATCTCACAATAATAAATGATCAATTAAAATTTTAAATACTAGTTTAAAAGTTTTTCATGGATACACATCAAACTAGAAACAATTTCAGTAATTACTTACAATATTTAGATTATAATTTATCATCTTAAAGCCACAGATGAGATCTGTATTGTTTTTTATATACAGACATCTCATCTAATGGCATTATTGAAGTTGCTAGAAATAACTGCATTAGTGATATGAATTTATGTTATATAAGATAGAAGCTCTTACAATCTTTATGATTTTATTTTAACAACACAATGGAGCACTGTTTATATATTTCTCAAAGAACTAGACCAGTGGTTTCCAATCTTATTGAATTTATAACATATTTTATTACTATATATTACTGAATCAATCAACATTTTGATCATAGAGTTTTCTCTCATACTTTTTCTATGAAAGGTTACTGAAACAAACTTCCAAAATCTAGTTAATAACACACAGAAATACATTGTTACCATTTTTATAAATATTTTTATTCATCTTGTGGAACACTTAGAATGTTTTCATAGCACACTACACAGGTAGGAATCCATTCAACTAGACCTAAAAGACATAACCAAAGGATGTAAAACTGAAATTTAGTCAAAATTGCGAACTAATAGTTGTTATGACAAACCAATTTTGTTATGGCTTTCAATGATTATTTTAATATTTTTTTTTTATATTATTAAAAACAATAATATCTTGTTATGGGAAATTCTTTTGAAATTTTGGTGGTCAAGTAGACATAGTTCATGAACCTTATTAATAGCAATAAACTCCAAAATAATTTTTACCTATTCAAGGCTCAAATGCTACAGAAAATAGAATATATATAATCATCTTTTGCAATTTTTGCTTTTTAAATTTTAAATGTTCATTAAAAACTGGTTCAAGGTTTATGTTAAAACTGTACGCTGGAATTTTTCCTAAAATTAACTTGTTTTGTTAAAGGAACATTCTTTTGCTTTTACATGATTCTACAAATGTGTAGATTTTCCCTAAATTGTAATTGCTTCATATCTATTAGCTGTAGTCTACTGCTAATCCTTCACTCTGAGATAGAGTACTCAAGTGGAGTCAATTTTATGTCTCTGAATTGCAGGAATGTGAAGAGAAAACTGTAATAACATAACAAAGAATGTGTTTTAAAAATCATACCAGAATTTCTAAAAGAATATTGTGATATCTGTTATCTTCATCAGAAAGAAAATAACATAAAACTAATATAAAACAAAACTAATGAGCCTTAGAAGTTTAAATGAAATATTTCATAATTGAAAGGAATAGGAGTGTTTTGGGACTATTGTAAAATGTCATAAAAGTAGAAAGGTCATGCTCCACTGTATTATATTTTGATAGATATTTTATGTATAATAAATAGATAAAATTGTTATATCTATCTTCTGTGAAATAAAGAAGATTAGAAAACTTAAAAACAAATAATTAAAGTTTGATCTATAAAAAGTAAATTCCAAATTAAATGTCAAAACTTATATTAGAAACATCTAATATAAATATTTTAAGATTTTAGTAAACTTTTCTAATATAAATTTTAATATTCAGTTTATTATAAACATATTTTGTTCACAGTTGATTGTTACAACTTTAATATTCATTGTATCAGTACATTGTAAAATAAAATTTTAATTTACTACTCACCATCAGCACAAGTTTTATAATCATCTAATAAACGAACTCCTGTTGGACAGGCACATGAATAATATGGCCTGTGAGAAGACATTAAGCATAAATGAGAGCAGCCACCATTATTAGTATCACATGGTGTTGGACCTATATATAAAATCATATACAAGAATTATATATAACAACTTCGCATGCAATTCAATTACAGTCAAATTTGATTATAACAAACACAGATATTGTCGATACTCTCGACACATACCAATTTGACCCACTAGAGGGACCTACCCAATAACTAAAAAAAAGGTTTTATGACCCTNGAAAATTCTACGAATAAAAGTATTTTGTATTTTTTCGAATTTACTGAATTTACCTGTAGACCAGATTGGAGATGCATAACACATCGAGTTAATGATGATTGAATTAAAGAGTTGAAAATGGATTTCAAATTCTTAATTTTAGCTTTGCAGAATAACACTATCAGATTATTTATTAAATTTTTAGCCTTTGTTATTGAGCTTTTATATTGTTTGTCAAATGATAAATTAGGCGTGAACGTTATCTCCAAGAATTTAACTTCATTAACTATTTTCACTTCTTCTTTCTTGATATAAAAGCTCGTGTGTTTTTTGGATAAATTACTGCCGTTTCGAAAAATCATTATAACTGATTTTTTGGGGTTTATTTTAACTTTTAACTCTTCCAAGTATTCGGATATTTGTTGAATTTTCCTGTGAAGTGCAGCAGCTGTTGGAGCTACTAATACAATATCGTCTGCGTATGTGATTGAGTGTATGGTTTGATTGTCTATTTGGATACCATCTTCATCTCTTACAAAACATTTATTTAAGTCAAATAGGTAAAAATTAAAAAGATAAGGAGATAGAGGGTCTCCTTGTAGTAGACCTCTATATGTTATAAACGGTGGCCAAATATTATTATCTTGCTTAATTATCGTCTCGTATCTCCCAAACAACAAACCTATCATTTTTATCAAGTGTTCGTCTGCTTTATGTTTTTCCAATTTCTTCTGTAAATCATTTATACTAATCAAATCATACGCTTTTTCTGGATCTAAAAAAAGATCTGTCTTTTCTTGATTAATTGTACTTGAATTGATGCCATTAAAACAAAAAGTGCTGTTTGGGTACCTCCTCTGTCCACAAAGGCATATTGCGTGGCATTTCTATAGTTATTTGTGGCTGTCCAAATATTAAATTTATCAAATAAGTCACTTAGCGTGCACGGGCAAAAGCCTGGGGCCATTCATTAAGTCTGACTCTTAGATCAATAAACGGTGCTTTGTCATCTTCCAACATTCCAAACAAAGAAATACTGAATGTTACTCATTGTGATGTATATCCTAGTTTACATTTATTTTTCTCTAGTAGTATACTAAATATGATAAATTAAATTTTACCTTACATATTCAGAAATATCAAACTAAACTGTTATTATTGTAAAAAAACAAATAAAATGTTTTAACACATTTTAACATGTTTCTATTAATTGTAAATTGCAGCATAATTGTCTAGACAATTATCTGAAACTACTTGAAATGAAGCACAAATTTATGTGAACTTTTGGTTTTCATGATATTTAGTGATATGCAAAACAAACCCATGTAAAACAAAAATCTTATTGTTATACATTTGTAATAACATTAAGTGTTCCTTTATATCAATTTCTAGAAAGTATAATAGTAATACTTTCTTATTTATAACTTTAACATTATATAACTGATTAATTTTACAAAATAAATATTTTCTTACCAAGCAAACTAAATCCAAATATATGAGAGAGCTGATCAGAAACTAACACCCTTCTATCCGATCCATCTAAATTTGCCATCTCAATTTTATCTAATTTTGCATCTCCCCAATATAATTTCCTTTTTTCATAATCTATAGCTAATCCATTTGGCCAATCAAGAGAAGTATTGATAATAGTTGTTCTGTGCGTTCCATCTAACTCTGCTCGTTCAATCATTGGTTTCGAACCCCAGTCCGTCCAATACATATACCTATCAATTACAAAATGAACAAAAATATATATAAAAGCATTAAAATAATAATAGTTATATATAAGAATGTTTTAACACTAAGAAATTTTAACAATTTAAGAAGTCCAGAAATTGCAGCTACTGCACTTATATTCATCAATAAATGTAAATATTCTACAATCTAGAAATATCTTCATATAATACTTACATATTATATAACACTTAAAAAAAAATGTTTTTGTTATACTTAGTCAAAAAATGAAAGAAGCATTTAATAATTCATATTTTATTGATTGTATAATGTTAATTTCAATTTAATTTTTAATGAAAAAATGAGTATTTTAGAATCTCCAATAGTTATTAGAAAATTATTATTGACTGCAATTTAAATGTGCATTTTGATTTAGACTTACTGTTTAGAAGAAAATTTCAGTTTTTATGTAGTACATGTGTAATTTGTGTAACTTTGGTAAAATTATTTTTATCTTCAATTACTTATATATCAACTCTAATTTAAAATAAACATTTATATTATGCAAGTACAGAAAATTCTCCATTTAGTACTTATTATAATAATACATACATTGTCATGTTAGATCAATTAGTAGTCTAAATCAGCAGTTGACAACCTGTCTGACCTCACAGACCACTGTCATTAATTTTGTTTTAAACAATACAAACATCTATAGAATAATGATCATAAAAGTTCCATTTTACTTTATTAATATAAAATTAATTTATTTAATAATGACAAATTAATGTGAAGTTTGTAGCTGCTTGTTTGAAATAAGTTTATGGATTCTTGACTCTTATTCCACAAAGACCAACAATTGCACTCACATTATTTATTGTTGATTATTTATTGATTTATTGATAACAGTCCTTACATGTTTAGTTTTAGATTTGAATAAAAAAACTCCCAATGAGTGAGAAAAAGCAACCAAGCATTTTGCATTTCTTTTGTAATACTTTGCATAACCTTGAGTTGATCAAAGTTCTCCATGGACCATCAAAATTTTTTTGTGGACCATCAGTTGGAAATTGCCAGTCTAAATCATCTTAATCACACTCCATCCTTTAATTGATATTATTACCTTCTTGCTTAAAACTTGCCTCTTGAAAGCTCATAAATTTCTGATAATTCTTCATTTTATATAATGACTAACAGAGAAATATTTAGAAGCTGTCAATTTTGTATGTTTCTTCACTAACAGTGAATAAGAACTAGACAATTGACTGAAACCCTTGTCATTGGTTATTGTACTATCAACTTTTTTAATAAAATTAACACACAACATTGTTGATGGAATATATTTTATTTATCATATATTTACTCTACATCTGGTCAGCAATCATTTCTTCATTGAGCCACATTGTCATCTTAAATTTGCCTCAATCCTAGATGGCTCTACAAATATCAATATATTATCAAAGTATACAGATATTACTGACATTTTTCTATTTAATTTTTTCTGAGATTATGTTGTTATTATACATACGAGGTCTGTTCAAAAAGTATCAGACTTTTATTTTTTCTGCGTAAACCAATGATGCGCGGGAGGCCTCTTTTGGTGGAGTTGTGGATGGGACAGTCATGCACAGCTCTGAATTTTTTCCCGCCTGCAGGAAGCATCAGTCATTGGCAGTCGGCCTATGAGTGAGGACATGTAGTGAGCTCTCGTCGGATTCCACTAAGTTGGAAAATGACTCAACAATGTGAGCAGCAATATTACATCAAATTTTGCCAAAAACCTTGGCGATACCCAAGTGTAAACCATTTGCAAGATTCAGCAGGCTTTCAGGGACGATCCTCGAGGCCAAAAAACAAGGATGGCAGGTCCGCAGCAATATCAAGGTCATGTTGACAGTTTTTTCGACTCTCGTGGGGTGGTATATTGTGAGTACGCACCACAAGGCCAAACTATCGCAAAGGAGTAATACTAGGAGGTCCTTCATCGTCTTTCCGATGCTGTGTGATGCAAATGACCGGATCTGTGGTCGATCAAAACTTGCCAGCTCCATCGTGATAACGCATCCGCCCATTCTGTGCATCTGATTCGGGCTTTCGTCGCCAAACATAACACTCCTGTGGTTCATCACGTTCTGTACTCTCCCCACATGGCTCCGTGTGACTTTTGGCTATTCCCAAGCTGAAAATGCCTCTAAAAGGAACCCGATTTTAGTTGAGAAAAGACATTGTGCGGAATGTGACAGACCAGCTGATGGCCATTCCAAAAGATGCGTTCCAGCAGTGTTTCCAGCAATGGCAGGAACACTGGGAGAAGTGTATACACTACCAAGGAGACTACTTTGAAGGGGATTAGGATTTTGTACCTCAAAATCAATAAATGTATTTTTGCCAACCAAAGGTCTGATACTTTTTGAACAGCCCTCATATAATGAAAAAAGTTGTCATTTGGAAGTCACTTTGTTTTTCAACACAATGCAGTTTATTTAGCTCTATCACAAATAGCTCTTTGCACTTCACTTATTTTATAAGTTAATTACATTTACAATGAACTTGTAATGAAAATGAAGTGAAAGAACAGGAGAAAAACTAGAATATTTAAGGTTATAGCTTCCAAATTGCATATTAGTTAAATGTCACATTTCCAACAGTAAATTCAAACAGTAGTGGTAGACTATGTAAAGAATTAATTTCACTCTAACAATTTTCTGTGGAGTATATATGCTGGTGCAGGTTATATGCACTGTGCAGGAAATTAAAGTATGAATTTTGGATTATTAATATTTTTGACTAAATCTTTCAAATTAATAATTTTGCAAATAAAATTTCAATATGTAGTATTTTCTTTTGATTCTCTTTATATTAAATTATATTGAAAATATTTTTACAAATATATAAACATTATTATTATTTGTTTTATAAAATAAAACCTAGTCTGTCAAATAACTTGGGACTTGGTATAAAATTTAGTATGGATTTGATTACCCATACCAAGGATAAGAGATATATTTCAGAAAAAATCCAGTACATCATTTGTCTTAAAAGTACATTATAATTATTATACAAAAAATTAAGATTAAATCATAACATTAAACTAAAAAACTGTTAAAATTAATCTAAAAGATATTTAAATAATGTAAGTTTAGCTCTGTTTTAAATATTAAAGATATATAATAGCAACAACTTACCCCTCAACTGGATCAAGCACAATGGCTCTTGGTTCATCAAGATTTTCAGTAATTAAAATTTTCCGAGATGTTCCATTAAGTCTAGAAACTTCAATTCTATCAGTTCCAGTATCAGTCCAATACAAATTACGTGCAATCCAATCAATGGCAATTCCATCAGGATGATGGACTTCTGTTGTTATCAAATCTTCTTGCTCTATATAAACAGAGAATTAAACAATATTTTTATTTTAAATATAAATATTTCTTAGAAATAATATAAATTTCATCATTAAATTAAATTCTATTCTATTAAATTTCATCATTTAATAGAATATATTGTCAGATATTTTATTAATTATAAGGTTGTAACATTGAATGACATTTCAAAAATAAACTTTAACATGTACATGAATTTGTTACTTTTAATGACTATCACAAAATGTTGAAGATTAACTAATTTTTTTTATAATATGAAATAGCCTATTCATAAAAAAATAGCATCAATGGTTATTTTCAGATGTACAGTAGAGCGTCGTTTATCCGAATCAATTGGGGACTGGGGTGGTTTGGATAACTTATTTTTCGGATAACGAATCATGTATGAAAAAATATATTAATTTATTCCATGTTGAAATTTCTCTCCGTTGCGTGTCGCTTCGCGTTGAATTTTCATCGATGTTAAGCCTAACGAAGACTATTGTATCATTAAAAATTATTTTTTTATTTTGTACAAACAAAATAAATTTATTGAAAAATATAAAAACAATAAAAAAAT